CACCATCTTGGTTTCTCCTCTAAACCAAGTTTTTTATGGGAGTCTTATGGTAAAACAAGATTAGAAACTACCATTATAGATATTTTCAGTAAGTAATGACTACATCTTTCGCAATCTCCAAACTAAGCTTCCTAGAGTTGAGATATAGATTTATTTTTTATTTATTTTTTATTTATTTATTTTTTTAATATATTTTATTGATTTTGTACAGAGAGGAAGGGATAGAGATAGAGAGTTAGAAACATCAATGAGAGAGAGTCATCGATCAGTTGCCTCTTGCACACCCCCTACTGGGGATATGCCCGCAACCAAGGTACATGCCCTTGACTGGAATCGAACCCGGGTCCCTTCAGTCCCCAAGCCGACGCTCTATCCATTGAGCTAAACCGGTCCCAGCTAGATTTATTTTTTAATCTAAATATCTGTCCAGTGACTCTAATGATGATTCTTTTATTGTGTAAGGATGGCATTAAATTAATCATATTAAATTAATTGATATTATTAGGGGATTATGAACCCCACTCCAATACCAAACACAAAAAATGAGGAAGAAAGTGAAGGGGGTTCATGATCAAGTCTCCTTCACCTTATTCATGTCTAACTCTTATCTCTCAATAATGCCAACTCTAACCTACTCTCAGACAATCCACTTCTCACAACTAAACATGTTTACAGATGTGCTATAAACATGATTTAAGTTAAATATAAAGAACACTGATAACAGATGGGCATTTTAATTTTTTATTGATAAATCATGATTTTTATTGAATACATAATAGAATACAATTAACAATAAAATAACATTTAAAAATTAAACTTTTAGAATTACCTTGATCAATATATAAAGCTTTCATTTCTGGGAAAATAATGCTTCATTTCAACAGTATTTAACAAATATGCAAAACAGCTTTTCTAAATAGGAGATTTAGGAGCAAAATGTTATAAACCTTCCTGTGTTCATAAGAAATTGACTCTACCAATATCAATGCAACCTCCTAAAAATCCAAAACATAAAGGTCAGGATACAGCCATACTTTATTGAAGCTATTAAAGATAAATCTAAAGATAATGATGTAATGTGGCACTGTCTTTAGATGAGGCACACAAAAACAAAATTCATTGGCTAGAAATAATTTTGAAACAAGCCTACTCCCACTGATATGTACTTAATAAAAAATGTATAGTTAATATTTAGTTTCCTGAAGTAAAACAACAGACCTCTGTTCAAAATAGAGGTAAAAATAATTGCAACTCCAATTACTCCAAATGTAACTTAAGATACTTAATATTAACATAACTATTATTCGAATAGAAAAATGTTAAGTTCCTTCAAGCATTATGCTTTATTGTAAGTTGAAAACAAAGGAAAATGAAGAACATGCTCTTCTGTTTAACAGAAGCTTCTATGGAGAGTATAAAAGATTCTGAAGCATATGCAAGAGTGAATCCACTTACTATAAGTGTCTCAGATTCACAATGTGCAAGAAAATAATGCACCCAAGAATAAATATACAATGGCACTTGGACCCATAGTAGCCACTTGGCAAGCTCAAAATATTATTGTCTTTATGTAAAGAAACCTTGTCAAGGAGTTATTTACAACATATTTTTATAGAAATCAGTATTAATACTTCAGTTACTCAAATTATAAAAAGTAAGGCTGTTACAAACAACTTTAGACTATATGCCAACAGGTTAATAAGATGGCTTCTTTTTTAAATGGCCCAAATAAATCATAGCTTCAATTTTTTTAAATATCATAGGATAGCCAGAAATGTTTAATGAAATAAATGAATTATATCAAAATAAAGATAAGTGGTGTTATATTGTCAGACTATTAATAACTATACTTAATATAAACAGAAGTTAGGGATAAACATAACTTTAAAAAGAAATAACTATATCCAGGTTCAAAAGAATGGGAGCAGGGAGTATTATGCTATCTACAATTCTAAAAATTTCCACATGTAGGATATGGTATTGCATAAAGAAGTAAAAAACTGTTGGGTGATAGATATATCTGGATTTTATATTAGCACAATACTTCTTGAATTTTACTCTAATCAACATACAAAAACAAAGATATTATTGTTAGAACATATGGAAAACATAAAGTACAATAGGTAGTAAGATGGTGAAAACAAATATAAAAGCATTGTTCTATTCTTGAATTGTTTCACTACTAGTTTTCCCAACATTCAGTCTCTGGAACCATTGTCACTCAAAACTGGAAGTGAGGAATGCTGCTGGTGTTACTTAATAAGGCTCCCAGTCGATGAAAAAAAAAGGGGGGGGGGAGCTTTAAATTAGTTCCTTATTTGAAATTGATGGCATTCTAAATGGAATTTAAGTCAGCATAAGCAAACTTACTGGTAAGGTAAGGCTAGTTTTTAATATTACACATTGCATGTGAAGAAAATAGTCTATACCATTAATTTTCACTACTATGTGTCCTCCTTTCTCCTTATTTCTGTGGCTTTTTAATCACTTTTCATGCAAACCCATGGCATGTAGCAGGCAAGTCCTCTGAGACATGAAGGAGGAAGTCCTAGTTTGTAAATGAGGAAATACAGTCTAAAAAGTATTCGAAGCTGGGCCCCATGGCTACGTTGGTCGCAGCACCATCCTATGCATCAAAAGATTGCAGGTTATGGAAGGCAATGGATCAATGTTTCTCTCCCCTCCTTTCTTCGTTTCCTTCCTTTCTCCCTTCCTTTCTAGAAGCAATAAAAAATATCCTCAGGTGAGGATAAAATAAAAAGAGATGCAAACTATCTTCCACTGGCCTGTCCATTATAGGGTTTTCTAATATATTGCACTCAAAGTTAAGTATAAATTGTTCACCAAAGAATATAAGGTATTGATGGTCAGCAGGGCAGGGTAGGAGGTACCTTTGTCAACCCACCTCCCACCACCACCCATCGCTAGCTTCATTACACCATACAGGAGGCCCACACATGTGATATCTAATCCTATACCATAAAAGGCTAATATGCAAATTGTCCCCTCAACTGGGAATTCCTGACCAGGAGTTCAACCAGGAGTTTGACCAGGGGGCGGGGCCTGCCGACCAACTGCCTGTGGCCCCTCCCCCTGGCTGGCCCAGCCAATGGCCCTATTGAGGTGGGCTGGCCAGACCCACCTGTGCACGAATTCATGCACCAGTCCTCTAGTTACATATAACAATGCTTATTCTATTGATAGATCAGAGTGTTCAAATGTGTGACAGAACTTTTTCCCACTTGGAAACAAACACAGGAAAATTATTTAACTGCTCTGTCTCCATAGACCTCTCAAACTTTAAAGCACTAAATGCTGGTGATTTCTACTTTGGTATCCAAAATATCCATAAGCAATAATACATGAACATACACTCGACTACACTTTCTTAAAATTCACACAAAAATAAAATTCTCTTTAAAATTTCTTTTAAAGGATATATTTGCATACTTTACTTTTGACAGATTTATTTTTAAACAGTTGAAAATATTGTATTGCAGACTCTCTGGAGCCCATGGCAATTATTTTTTCTCAGGTCCACTTGAGAGATATGCCATGGACTTAAAGAGTAATGTTAAAACATTTCTTGGACTTAATAAAAGTTCTTTCACTTGTTTTTTATATAGCTAGTATTTTTTAAATATATTTAAAAGGGGAACTAGAAAGAAAGACAGGAAGGAAAGACAGAGGAAGGAGAGAAAAGAGGAAAAAAATAGGAAAGGAATTCTTTAAAGATTTCACCCAGATAAATGAATATTATGACCCAGGTGCTCAAAATTCAGGAAACTTCTTAAACATTCTCAGCAAGCATCAGTTGTCCCCAGATGGCCAGCAGTCTGGCACTCAGGCAGGTCCCCAGCAATGACCTACATACTTCATTTCAGCCTTCACACCACAACTCTGGTCCCTGGCAAACCTCAGCTGCTTTTGCAGACCAGAGCGGTCACTCGGCCATGACTTATCCAAGATTTTGTCATAGCCCTGGCTTACCACACCCTATTGCTAACAAAGCTTGTGCCTCCTGGCCTAGGACCTTCTAGTCTAAGTCTCATAAGGCAAATATTGCAACGCTCTCCAACCCTCCTCCTGAAACAGAGCCAGCGTGTGGGCTGAGGACGTGAGAAGGAGACAGCACACCCAGGACCCCTTCGGGCAGTTTTCTGTGCACACCTCCACCACTGCCCCCACCACAAAGCACAGAAAAGCACCTTCCCTTTCCCATTCCTCTCTCCAGGAGACAAGTGGAGGAAGAGTAAAGGTATGTGGTATATGGTTACCTTTGGAGTGGAAAAACAACATTTTTATAAAAATTTTTAAAAAAATCACCATCTACATTGGAAAAAGAGGGATGTGATATGCAATGACAAAGGTGGCCCAGAGACCATGGCGGTGGGATGGGATGGGAGTAGTGTTAAGGTGGGTGTGGGAAGGGAACAGAACAAGCTCCTCCTTCTGGTTATTTTCTCCCAGTTCTCAGGAAATTCATCTTTATAACTAAAAAATAATATGAATGAAGCTACTTTGAAATGGAGTCAGAGCTGCCATCCCAAAGGAGCTGCCTTGCAAGTCTGATACCTCCCACCTCTGGAATGTTAAAACGGGGCAAACTAACCTACAGCGGCATGGTGTCTGCAAGGATCGCAATGAAGCAGCTATTGTGACTATCACACAGATGGCTACAGAACTGAAAATTAAAAACATTGTTCAGAATTAAACGTCACTAGGTTAGCTTCTCTGCACCAACAGAAGCGTCTTCCTACTAATAAGACGCTTCCCTTTCCCATACATACCCCTTGTCTTTGTCTCCTAACCCGAACACTGTCTGGGCTTCTCTGCCTGAATCAGTGCTTTCCGAGTAACTATTCCTTTCTAATCTCAAATAAATGCTGATGCCTCTAGCTTTGGCCTTTTATTTTTAGGTTATCAATACTGAAGGAAAGACTGGTGCTTCGCAAGTCTGAAGCACCTCATTTCCTCTGGAAAATGAAAAGAAGAATGGATCTAAAATGACACATTTATTCTGGAGAAAACAACACCTCCTCCAAAACCCTAACATCTCTCAAAGGGCGGGGGGGAGGGGGGAATAAAGATATACAGATGCAATCATTCTCCATTTTGTTGCACACGGAAGGCAGGTGAAGAAATCTATGCAGCCATCCATACTATGGCCTGCTGTTCAGCATCCCCCTCAATCCCGCAAAAAAGAAAGAAAAAAAATTGTTTCACAAAATAGTCAGAAGCAACATTGGATTATGACAATAAGACAATCACAGGTGACCTGGAAATGGGTTCCACGGAGCCCTTCAAAGGTTAAGCCACAGCCCACGCTGCAAAGAGAACAGAAGCAGGACACAGAAAACAAAAACGACTGGAGGGCGATGGAGGGAGGCCGGCGCGGCGCTCTCGCAGTGGCAGCCCCCGACGTTCCCGCAGAGGTCGCAGGAGGACAGCTTCGCTTCGGAGTTGTAGCTTCTCACCGCGCATCTCCCTGTTCAAAGAGGAGGACATCGGTTTACACGTCGCCTTTGTTTGGAAACGCTGGCTTTGCCAAAACTTAGAAGCATTTCAATACGCTTCCCTGAGTTTTCCATTCTCCCTATAATTCTATTTTTTCTTTACAAGAAACAACCAAAAGGCTCCAGAGAGGCCCACACGGCTAACCAGGTCCAAGTGGGAATCAGAGCTTTCGGTCCAATCCGTGCACCACCAGCAGTTGCCGGCGGGGACGGAGAGCATGGCTGCTGCTGCAGGACACGCGCCCTGGAGCTTGGTGGAAACTGAAAGACTTTCAGTTGAGGGTTGTTTCACCTCCTCCAGAGTTTCTTTTAGGGCGATATTGTCTGTGCACTGGAGTGAAGTTCTGATAGTGAGAACTACTGAAAAGAGATATATGTATGCTGTGTGTTAACTATAACTGAAAAATAAATTAATTTTTTTAAAAAACAGAAACAAGATATTTACCAAGGGCTTTATTTAAAATTACAAAAATATGAAGAAAACTCCACTTATGCAATGCCTTGTTTCAATGCTTTAAAAACGGTGATTTTCCAACTGGTGTGCTGCAAGAATTTTTAAAACATGCAATACCTCTCTATTGAGTCCGGGGCACTGACCTCCTTTCCTTACATTGCCAAATAAGAAAGGACAACAGGTAATACACCCATAGCTGTCCAATGTGAATGAATCAAAACTATACCTATTTTTTTTTTTGTCAGATCAGCAAAAAATTTTATTTTGGGTAGTGCTGCAGAATTTTAGTAATTAGTTTATGTGTGCCATGAGATGAAAAGAAATGAAAATTGCTGCTCTAAAACATTGAGAACATAATCTCTAAAAAGTACTCAGCTTTGATAAATTTTATAGGATAAGCTAGTATGAAACAAACTATATAAAGCACTTATAACACTCTAATGAACTCATTATGAAACAAATTAATTTTTATAATTTTCAAAAATATTCTATATTCAAATTTCTTCCTGACTATTTAATTTTTTAATGTTATAAATATGTTTTCTAACTTTAGGATTTTCAAAAATGAGATGGTAGGCTTTTAAAACTCTGATCCTTCCCAAATATTCCTTTAAAAATGTGCCCCTCAAATAAATTGTTTTCCACACACAAAAATAAATTTACATAGACTGAACCTCTTTTGTTTCTTAAAGGTTGAAAATGTTCTCCACACACCTAAGAAACATCAATTGGGAAATTTTGCAGGTTAAATAACAAAGTTGGATAACTAGGTACTATCCTTGAGTCTCCATGGCATATCCCATCCTTCTGGCAGAAAAAAATTGGTTCCCCAAAATGCCCCACAAGGACCTTGTAAATGATCAGTTGTCTTCATTTAAATGAAAAGCTTACCTCCTGCTCCCCTACCTCCTACACTTCCCCTAACAATACCCCCCACCACAAAACCAATTCAGTTCATGAGCACTTTGAATAACTGAATTAATGAGTGAGTGAATGAATGAAGGGATGGATAGGTGGGTATCTAGCTTAACTCCTAAAGTAACAGGAACTCAGAACTCACTTACTTGGTTCATAGTAATCCACTATGGACACAGAAGCATCTTTTATATTTGAAACTTTAAAGTTTCTCACAGTAGGGATAGCAACACAGAACTGGCTTTCATTTACCTTGAAAAACACAAAAGACTTTTAAGAAAATGGCAGGTTATGTGTTCATGAAAAAGTAAAAGATATTTCTTTTCCTTATCATTTTAGGAAACAGATACAGAAACTAACATTCAGGGAGCACTTCTTCAGGCCCTGTACTCTGGTAAGCACTTTATATAAATTATCTCTCATTTAATCATAAACTATCCTTACAGGAAAGGTATTGTTCTTACTTCCACTTTGCTGAGAGGGATAGATACTGAGTGGTCAAGCAGCAATCCCAAAGCCAAATGCTCTGAGGCCCTGGTGCCTCACCCAGCCTCCCTGCCTCAGGCAGTGCACCCACAGCAGTTCCTGCTCAGAGCTCACAGCAGCCCCTCATCTGGAGAAAGGCCCTCAGCTCACAGGAGCCATGTCTCCCCGTGAGTGAGGTAACCCTGGGGTGGGCGGGTACACCGGGTAGGCGGAGCACCCCACAGCCAATGACTGATAGGAAGTATAAAAGGCCAGCCTCCTTGCTTCTAAGAGGGACAGCTTATGCCAATTTGGCAAACAAAATTGGTTAAGGAATCCAAAATTGATAAATGCCTTCAAACATTCCATCATATACCAATTAGCAGTAAACAGAAATTCAAATAAATCTGTCAAAACATAATAGACACTCACATCAAGATAACTATTAACAAGAACATCTCAGGTATAGGACAAACTTCAAAATCAATTATGTTATTAAGTAAAAACCTTAAGTTTGTTCTTCAAGTTCTAAATCAGGCTGGTGGCTTTCAGGGAGTTATTTAGTATATGAAAATTCCTGAACAGCAACAGAATCCTAGAGATCCCGAATTCATTTTAACAGGTTTTTAACCAGAGTGATTTTTGAAGTCTCAAAACACTGAGAACATTCAAGAACTAGCTTTTTAAAAGTAGATATATTGCTAAAGCTATATATGTCTGATTCATATTTGGCAAAACTGGAATAAGAAACATACATATTCCCCCCATGTAACATGAAATCCTAAAAAACACTTAGAACTCAATTTCAATTCAGAAATTAGAAGGAAAGACCAGCGGTTTTGAGACATAAGTAGAGTCTTAAATTCTTCACTTACATTATTCTCACATATTTTATGCACCTTATTCTTGGACCCATAATTTTCATACAGCAATGGGAAGTATGTATGAAAATTATGTATATAAATAATATACATAAAAAAATAATATACATATAAAGACCAAACCTCTGAATATATTCTTTTATTATGTAAGCACCTGACATAAGTGCAGGAATATTAACCCATTTGGGATTTATTAAAAGCTTCATAAAAGCATTTTAAAACATGTAATTAAAGCTTTCATCATCAGCATTTAAACGAATACGTTTAGCAATTCCCTGAGGCAGGAGAGGAATTCTCAAAGTGAGATCTGGACTTAATTTTTAAAATTTTAATGTGGCAGTTTCTATCTATTTTACATCTGGCATGAAATAATGATTTGGTTATCAATACTTTCATGGGGGTCATCATTAACAGCAATACCTTTTAATTAAACTAATTCTACCATGATGTCTTTTTAATGAGAACAAATATAAGGTTGCTGTGTTAAAGTCACTCAGGGACACAAAACGCTGAAATAACAACTTAAAGAAAACATGCGTAAAGTAAGGGAGACTCTGAACACAAGAGGCGGAGGCTCTGTACATGGTCACCACTATGAAACAGGTTTCACTACTTACAGAATCCAAGTACAGGTTGAGTTTCCCCTGATCCCACTCCACTTTCTTCACCATCTCGCTCAGCGGAATTTTGTCTGAAGGCACCGTGAAACCGCTGAGCAGGTTCACTTCCATGAGGGCCATGCCACTTCTTTCTGGGCCCAAAAACCTACATCGAAAGGAGAGGAAGGAAGAAAAAACGAAAGCTGCTGGCACACTATATTCACAGAAAAGTTAAAACGGCCAAGTGTCATTTCAAACATTACTATTTCGTTCCAATAAAAATCACAGCTGGAAAATGGTAAAACAGGTAATCCTTTCCTTCCAGGTGTGAAATCCTTATCCCCTCTCAACCACAGGAGGCATAATGGTAGAAAGGGGTTCACCTCGCAGACAGTGTGAAATGCCTGCCATGGAACAGGCCTGGGTAGGGTGTGACAGGTACAACCTAGGTGCCCGTTCAGCAGGCGACTCTGTTTCCGAGTGGCGACTCCAAACTGAACCGCAGCGTTCATTGTCTCAGAAGCTGACAGCCCGAAGGGTTCTCGCAGGGAGCCAGGACTGACACAGCGTTCGGGCCACTTCGCAGCAGAGCCGGGCCAACTCTTTAGCAACCCTGCCTTTGTCCAGTTTTACATCCTTCCCTTTGTTCTCCCGCACACTTGGAGCACATTTTGTGTTTTCTTTGGCCACATGGAGACAGTGACAAGAAAGCTTTCTCACACGGCCTCGTTCCCTCACACTGCTGTGCACAATGTCAGCATCAAAGCACCTGGGCACCAACAACGTTTGTCTCCTTTAAAGTAAATATTTTTCTAACATGAAGAACTGGCGAGAGCTTTCTGTTTGGACCAGAAGGAGCCCAGCGTGGTTATGGGAAGGAGAGTGCCTCCAACATGAAAGGATCACAGCATCGTTAAGCGAGTTCCTGGTGTCCTTTCCCATAGCAAACCCCAGCGGGGCTGGCAGAAAATCTTGCTTTTTTAGAGCAACGAACTAATGACCGGTGGAAAAGCCATCCAGTACAACTCTGACTGCAGCTGGCTCAGCAATCCCAACTATTAAGTCTCTTGATTCAAGAACTTTCTGCCTGGCCGGTATTGCTCAGTGGTTGAGTAGTGGCCAATGAATCAGGAGGTTACTGGTTGGATTCCAGGTCAGGGCACATGCCCAGGGTTGTGGGCTTGATCCCCAGAAGGGGGCACACAGGAGGCAGCCAGTAGATGATTCTTTCTCATCATTGGTGTTTCTATCTCTCTCTCCCTCTCCCTTCCTCTCTGAAATCAATAAACAATGCTTTTTTAAATAAAATTTAAAAATAATTTAAAAAAGAACTTCCTAAAGGAGGTGCTCTCAAACTTGTATGTGCGTTAGAGTGAGCGGAAAGCTGAGGACCCCAGCTTCACAGACCCCGCCCCACTATACCTTTGAGTGGAGCTTTTTTCCTTATTATTAACAAGTTTCTCAGACACTTTGGATACAAATCAGTTTTACAAAAACCTTACACGTACTTCCAAAAGCTATAAGTGCCTAGTTATCCACAGTGAAGACCTTCTAAATTGGAATATTTTCACTATCTTCATTGAACTTGACTGCTCTTATAAAATTTTGAGTTAAAAGTATAACACTCACCCTGACTGGTTTGGTTCAGTGGACAGAGTGTCGGCCTTTGGATCAAAGGGTCTCAGGTTTGATTCCAGTCAAGAGCATGTACCTTGGTTGCGGGCTTCTCCCTGGCCTGGACCCTGGTCAGGCCTCATGCAGGAGGCAACCAATTGATATGTTTTCTCTCACATCCATGTTTCTCTCTGTCTTTCCCTCTCTCTTCCACGCTCTCTAAACATCAATGAAAAAATATCCTCAGGTGAGGATTAACAAAACTTTTTTTAAAATAACACTGAATACTACATATGAACCTGGAAAAATTGCTTAATATAAAAATTACTACCAACAAGAAATAACCAATTTGAGTGTATTAAACATGATTGGTTAATTTCCAGTTTCATCAATTAGACCTGAGTTTTAATAAATTTTTCCATGCAAAGTTCCTATAAGTACAAAGAAAACTTGTAAATAATGTTGAACTCGTTGAGAAATGCATAAATATTATTAGCAGTTCACACATGTCTAGTTTGAAATCTAAAATGTAATATATAACAAATCTTTGTTCAATGTACTCCTTCTGTATTGATATAGTTAGATATCCATAAATAATTAAATCTTCAAATCTTTTCTTTTTTAAAGAAGAAAGAGGAGAGTTAAACAGATACCAACCTTGTGCATACATCCAAATCCACATGATTGATATCATCTTTATTATTTTTTACATTAACATCTAAGTCAAAGGCTTGTTTAATTAGGAATGATGTTTGTCTTGTGGAGGACTCTGACTCTTCCACATTATAAAAAACATTTAGCTGTAAAAATAACAAATTAGCATTAACGACAAATTAGCAATAAATTACCATCATTATGTTTTCTAAATGTTAAGTAATGATTCTCAACTACATTCACAGTCTCCAACCTAGAAAAAAATTTAGTTTTACTAGCTAACAAAGTCTCATTAGTAACAAATACTGTTATGAAAGTTTATTAGCGGTGATTTTTAAAGCTGAGAAAAGTTTGCTAACATTCCAAAACAAGTGTCATAGACTATCATGAATGATAGTCATGGGTATTGTTTTTTTCAAAGAATGTAAAACATTCCCTATTGGGAGAAAGTGAAACTATTGCCAACTTTCTCTCTTTATTATTATTATTTTTAATCCTCATTCAAGGATATTTTTTTCCATTGAGTTTCAGAGAGTGAAAGGGATCGGGGGAGGAGAGAGAGAAACATCTATTGGCAACTTTCTTGAGAGTGTTCACAAATTTCTAAACTCTGCTACCCAACTGAAGTCATCTTTCACACAATGGTACCTTAGAAACTCTAAGATAAAGCAAAACTAAAATATCTAAGAGCCTTGGTGGGACAGAAACCTATTCAACTGCTCGGGAGCCTTGTTTTTAATCATATATTTTTCAGAGATGATAAAATAAATGACGGTTTTCAAGTTAACTGGGTCTTTTTCAGCATATACATACTCTGTGTCTGCTGTGTGGACACTGGGGAGTAAAACCAGTGTTTTATTCAAATGGATCCTAAGATCAGAAGCTTGGGAAAATTTTGTGAGGTGCTGTGTGGACACTGGGGAGTAAAACCAGTGTTTTATTCAAATGGATCCTAAGATCAGAAGCTTGGGGAAATTTTCTAGACCTGCCTCATGCCACATTGTACTAAAATCTAAAGTTTTTACCTCTTCCACATTTTTTTGATCCAAGGTTCATAGGCCTTACTTATTGCTATGTAAGTTGTACTTTTTTTCTGATTATACTTAAATCACACTCACACAGAGAATTAAATCTCTAGTACCCATTGTGGATGTATATACAATACTATTAAAAATCCTTTCTCTGAGCCTTTATCTTTTAAACCTAAGATTTCCAACTTTTCATTCTGCCACTCCTAGCTCAAACCCTTCATCCCCTTCATCATTCTTGTTTTCTCACCCTAGAAATTCTCCAACTCTTTAACTACAACTAAAATTATAGAGTATTTTTGAAGCAGTTGAAGGAATGGTTTCATAACTTTGGAGAAATGATCTCTATTACTTTCATCATCCCTCTTCCAGTGGCATGCAATTGTCCTTTAAGAACCAATATCATCAGGACACAAACAAGGACTATTAAATTTGACCTCTGGGACATAAGTAATGCCACCTATAACTAAGTATTAAGGTTTATGTTTGGCCCACAATAAAGTTCAACTGCTCACTCAGACAACTTCAAAAGATCTTGCAGCTTATTTCCAACAGCTTAGCCTTTTATTACTCAAAAGAAGTTAACATTTACTGTAAAATTGAGAGGGTTTTTTTTTGCCATTCTTTTTCCAGGGCCCTTAGAAAAATATCAACTAAAGGAAATCTCAACATTTATTTCAGTGTGACCTTCTTTTTGCAATGTTTTTCTCCATCATGAGCAGTGCCTATTGGTCCCTACCTTTTGTTTTCTGCTTGTTGATAAAGACATAGGACTGATGAATATTCTGACCAGTAGGTGCCATATTTACCGCTGTGCCCTTCAAACATCAAGTAAAAATCACTTGGCTTAAGGAATTTGTCTACATTTGGTTTATCAAGAATGAGTTCCAACCAAGTTGGAGACTTAAGTATACTTATGTAATTTTTCAATTGTATCTAAAATATCCTGTGTATTTACTTTCAGATTTAATGTTTGCATTGAAAGATAGTTTAGGAATGAGAATTTTCACCTGGTCTTTGTTAGTAAAGACCAATATAAACTCTTTACTCTTTTTTCTTTCAATTTTTTTTCATTTAATACCATTTCTTTTAACTGTGAACATTTTCCCTTGATTTTTAAAAAACATTCCCTTGTTCTGAGTATCAAAAAAGTTAATCTTAGAATTATTTGGAAGTTCCTAAATTATACCTGAGCTTCTGCCTTACTTAGCAAATATATTGCAAGCGTATCTGCTCTCTTGTCTAGAACAACTGTCCTGTTATTTTAAAAAGTCCATTTTCTCTATAATAGCCTTTTTTCTTTCTTTTTTTTTTTCTTTCTTTTTTTTTTTTAACTTTTTCAGTAAATTTTTCAGGGTTTGTTTGGTTTGTTTTTCTAATCAAGTACACTATCATATACTGTATTGGGTTTCTAATGAAATTATTTTTAGTTCCTATGATTTTTGTGTATTATTAGTATAATAATTATTTCATCCTATATTTCATCCTGTATTTTTCATGCTACTTTCATTTTATTCTAATCCCTATTGCATGATAAAAGGTAGATTTCTTTGGATTTTCTTCCTGTACCAGAGCATTAACCATTTCATGCTCTAGTACAGGACATATATCCTATCTTTGGGGCAATTACTTGTAATGCCATGTTGACCTTTATGTTGTTTGATGAATATTAAGTTGTAAGTAAAATGCATATTTATTTATCAAGTCATAGCATTAAAATTCTGAGCTCTATTTTCATAAAACAATGTGGGAGTTTCCAACAATTCACAGGAAGAGTGTTGGAGGATTTCCATCCTCACTTCAAGCTACATATAATAACCAAGAAATATTTATCCAATAGAGATTATCAATCCACAGAGTTGCTGTTACTCTCCAGTTAATAACATCTCTAATAGTGATTTATCTTGCCTAAATCATATAAATGAATCATTAAAGATTCTATACATAGTCTAAATTAAAGATTTAGCAGTGCCCCAAACCAAAGAATTGTTATAGCAAGTCATATTTAACCAAACAAAACCAAAGATTATCACATACCTGACACATAGCAAATCCGAAACCATTTGCGGAAATATTAACTTCGATAGGATCTGTCACAGCAAGCTGAATAAAGGTGGGGGGAGGAGGGAAGCAAGAGAATAAGGCTAATTTTCCATATGTAGGTCCTTTCAAGTAGCATAAGAGGTCAGTGTGATTCCTCATTAGGGATACAGAGTGAGCAATCTGTGGGAAGCTTAAGAACTTTACAGGGCCTCACACATCAAAAGCTATGGGTCAACCATGACAGAGGTGAATTAGAGAAAGCAGCACCCACTCTTCACACACCCTCACCTCTGCCCTTTAGAAAAGCACATTAGCACTAGGGGTAGCCTGCCCTTCTGTAAGGGGAAAGACAAGAGACAAGCCAGCTCTCTCCGCTGACCTCCCTTAGTCAGTGCTTAATCCCTTGGTCATGCTGGAACCCAGTGACACATCCTCATTGCCTATGACTAAGTTTACTCCTTCTTTTCCTTTGCCATAACCCCTCTTCCTCCATTTCCAGCCTTGAAAGTATTACCTTCATCCATTACCCTCAAGTTTCCACAAGGTTACTCAGGGGGATAAGGTTAGGGTCTAGCATAGGGCTTTTTTCCATTTCAAAGTAAGAATTCTATTACTGGTTTTATCAATTCTCTAATGAGGCCAGGTGGGACAGCTGAAAAGAACATGGTCTTTGAAACCATGAGTTCAAGTCGTAGCTCTATTATTGTTTTGGAGCAAGTTCTTAACCTCTCTCAGCCTCAGTTTTATCATGTGTACAAAAGGAGTGAAAGTACCGTATTTTCCAGCGTATAAGACGACCCCCTAATTTTACAGTTAAAACACAGGCTTAGGCCTATATTCGCTGTATAAGACTACCTCCCACTTCCGAGGCAACACCAATTCTTTTTTTAATAGACCGCCTCTCTGATTCTGGCCAATCTGAGCAGGCTTTTTACTAGAACACAGTGTCGTCTTATACACCAGAAAAATACAGTATCTGCTGGAGGGAACTTCTTCGTGTTGGTTTGAGAAATAAGTGCAGTTGCACATGTAAAGAAATTGAGCACGATTCCTTCAAAAAATGGTATCTCAATGGGTGTTCATTCTGGTCCCAATATGAAAGTGTCCATGTTTTCTCCTTTTCAAAGTTCTCATCCCCTCCTCCCTTCCCCAGCTCAGCAAATTCAACCCAAGGAGTATACTCCTTCCTCCCAGTCTCTACAGGGCTCTGGGAACAAGTCTTTGTTGAAGTCAATAGGACAGCGATAAAACCATTTTCTACCCTAAGGAGTCACCTCCACAGAATTTTAAATAACCACCCCTTGTCCACACCTCTGCCGTCTGGAGGAAAAATAGGTTCTGTGGGTCAACGTGAAACTTTACAGGTTTCCGTACACCAGACGCCAGTATGGTCACTTGCATATTTGTCCTTTCTGTGTTCATCAGGGCTGCAAATTCAGACAGGGCCTTCAAGGCCACAATGGTGTCCTGTTGAAAAAAGAAAACCATGTGTGCATATAAGTATATATCAAGGTCTTCCAGGAGTAAATACAGTAATGTTTAGGACCCCCACTCCTAAACTCTACAGACATCCACCTTCCTTGAGAGTGGAAGTCTCCTTTATTCATTTTTTAATCTCCTTGAGAGGCTCAGAAAATATTGGCTGGACAGAACTCACCGTCTACATTATCAGTTACCACAGATGGAAAAATGGCTAATATAGACGGGGAACTAATTTATTCCCTATAAATATCCAAGGTGATGCTTATATCCATGATGAGAAAAAAATAAAATGAGTAACTTAAACCTTCGGCTTAAATTACTTAACTTTTAAACTGTTAAGTAATTTCATGAAGTCATGAAAAAAAGCAATTGCATGCTTCCTAAAGCTATAGATGGATGGGCAGGCGGGCGGATGGATGGATGGATAGATGGATGGATGGATGGATGGATGATAAATTAAAAACTGTCATGACTCACCTGGGTAGATGCAAAACCTCCCAAGTTGTTTCTTTGCCTGCTCAGCCACCGCATAATCGGGATTCCCTCAGCAACCTGATGCTGCACAATGTGTGAAAGCAGCGCATAGGCTGAGACTTGGATATCCAGCGAGCTGGACTGCCAGGACTCAGAAAGTCCGGACACCGATGACACCCAGAATAGAGAGCCACCTGAGAAGACACATAGACATTCTTTAAGTTGTCAGCTGAGCCTGAGGCACTAGCAGAGTACCTTTGTCCAGGTGTCAGCAGAGGCGGGTCTAGATATGTAAATCCAGTAATGCTAGGACCTAGTTAAGAATGCAAATAAGCTCTTTCGACCCTATAAATACACCTGAGTGGCTTGGGGGGATCGCCTTTGCTGCCTCTCCATCAGAGAGGTGGCGCCCACCTAGTGCCCAGCTTGATGAATCTATTTCTGCCTTCTTGTCTCTTTCTTTCTCTAATTTCTTAATCCCCAGCTCCTCCACTCAGGAACCTGTCATTTTCCGTGATGGACACAGAAAACAGAGAAACAGCCCACCGCATTTTGTCTCCTGCAAGAGAAAAATAATGCCAGAATGACCAATGACAGAAAAACTGCATTTTATACCATTCAATATCCTTACACGGATCCAAGCTCAACTTGGCTAACATAAAATGATTTCTATTGCTTTATATGTGTATATGTATGCCAAACAAAACATGTGTATTTAAACACACACATGCATGCACAGATATAAACATGTACTTCTATGTCACTTTTTAAATGACTGACACATACATTTTCATTCTTTCCCTGTTGGTTATATGTGAGGATGCTTTGATGAAAGTATTTTTCCAAAGATATCCATATGTTGGGCTCTAGACTCAACAGCTACAAATAAAAGAAAAAAAACAACATACTATATCCCAGAAAATAATGTACATAACTTTTCTGACCAGGCCATCACAAAAATATTTTAGAATACATTGGAAAGAACTCTGCTCTGGGAATCAGCCATTAACCAACTCTGTTATTCTGGAAAACCTCTCCTTCTTCATTATCTGAAAGTTGGTGTTATAAGTTCAAAATCCAAGCCCTCAAGAAAAAATAAGGGACACTGTCCAACTAAATAATCTTCCTAGAGATATTTCTACTAGCCCCTGGAGGAGAATCCTATTTGGTGCCTTCTCCCTCAAATATTACTGTTTAGATGTTGATTACACTTGGGTGGAATATATAATAACTACCCCCTAGCCAAGCAGAGAAGAAATGTCAAGGACTGCTTCAGCCTCTGTGCAATAATCTTTATCCCCAGCACAACAAGGTGATAAGGATTCAATCTATTAATGCTAACCCTATCTAATAAAGAGGGAATATGCTAATTGACCCTCACACTATTGCAAAGATGACAGCACCCACAGCCAATAAGGAGGGAATATGCTAATTGACTGAAACGCTCTCAAAGATGGTGGTGTCCATAGCCACAAGATGGTGGTGGCCAGTCCCCTCAGCCACTCTGCATGCCTGCCTCCAGAGTCCCCAGTCCCCTTAGCCCTTTAGTCACCCAGGGCCAGCCCAAGGCACAGGCAAGCCTCAAATGGCAGTTGCCCAGTCTCTCAGGGTCTGACTGAGGCGCAGGCAAGCCTTGGATTGTGGCTGTCCAGCCACCCAGGGCCACCCGAGGCTCAAGTAACCAGGGCCAGCTGAGGCTTGTGCTGCCGTCAATGGCAGCAGCAGAGGTGTGATGGGGTGTTGCCTCTCACCCCTGAGGACTCCCAGCGTGTGATAGGGGGCAGGCCTGGCTGAGGGACTGTCCTCCAGGGCATGAATTGTCATGTACCAGGATTCTAGTAATAATAATAATACAATATTTTTTACAGTCTCAGAAGTCTCAAAATACTTTCTACAATTATCCCTTCTTAAATTAACAGAGCTTTGAAACAGCTCTGTTTCAGTCCACTCATCTCCATATCTATCTATACATTCACAAGCGTGCACGCACACACACACACACACACACACACATGCACACACACGCACGTGCGAGCACACCCTGAATCCCTGACTGTAGAGGCCATTTGGGAAGTGACAACATCTGTAGGTTTGTCCTGCCATAGCCCCTAAATAGTCCCCATTCAAAAATATATATATCCTATCCATAATTCACTAACAACATTTTCTTTTGGCATTTGTGTTTCTATTAATTACTATTGTGGTTCCCATTTTTAAATATGTACCATGCAGCAAGCATTGTGCATTACCTCATTTAATCTTCACAGCAACCCTTAAATTGATGTCACTCCAATTTCATAGTTCAGGAAACTGCAGCTCACAAAGGGGAGTGGCAGAGGCAGAATTTGAACCCAAATCTCTCATAAACCAAGGTCTTAAAAACCACTCAAGGCCATTAAACCAGCAGTGGTATCAGAGAACTACAAAGGTAACTGACATCTGGTAGGGTATATCTAAAAGAAGAAAATACCTATGCCCCAAAATTCTCTGGAGAACTCTTAGGGAGAGTAGAAGCAACATGGCCATGTCATAATCCTGTGATCTCTTCTGTGCTTCATGCTTCATCCCATTTAAAAGATGTAAATGTAATCAACTTCATATCTGGCTTACAAAACTCTCACATAATTTATACATTTCCTAGTGCCCAACAGTCTAATAACTTCCAATGGGACCTGCGCATTACCCCCTTTTAAAAATATATATTTTTATTGTTGATAGTATTGTAGATATCTCCCATCCTCCCTCTCCCTTTACTCCCAACCACCTAGTCCCTGCCTACCCCACCCAACCCCCTAGGTCTTCACTACCCCACTACCGTGTCCATAGCTATGCATATACCTTCTTGTTCTCCTCTCTGAGTCAGGATATTCAAAGCTTCCTTGGCTTTAGGACTCTCCAGAAGGGACAGCGCATACGTTGTAAGAGCCAGAGTATAATTGTCTGAGATTCCTCTGAGGAATTCAGACTCCAAAAAGTTGATAGATTTCTTCAGATCAAGATTAGGCTTGAAAGAAAAAAAAAATACATATTTTACCATTCAAAATAACCCCAAAAAGTATTTTCAAGCATTTATTCAAAAAATAATTTCAGCATCCACAAAGCACCTGACTTTTGTCCTAGGCAGTGGGAATCAATAATGATCGTTGACATTCATTAATTAGCCATATTTTTACTCTCTGAACCATAACACTACTTCTCCGTTTTTTGGAAGTCAATAGGCGCTGTGCCTTTGAGAAAATAAAAAGTAGAACGTTTGCCAGGGTTTCTCCCGTTGGATAGCATGAATTCAGATGCAAGCATACAATATAGTTTAAGAAAGGTATTTCTCATATGTGATCTCAGGGGTTGAAGCTCTAAATTCAAGGGGAAAGTTTCTCTTCTGCACGCCTAGACCTGGGCTAGGAAAATAGTAGGAGCTTTATAGAGGGTGGCTGGTTTTGATCATGTGAAATGCAGTCAGCATTAGGCAGTAAAGGCATCAATCACTGAGACACAGCTCTGGAGTGAAATTAAGCTCATTAGCATAACTTTCCACGTAGATTCATTCTCCACCAGACATCCATGTCCATTTAACACGCTTTTTAGAGTGTGGGTGTACTTTGTACTAAATGAGCAGACACTGTAATTGCTCCATAATATTTAAGAATTTTTTTAAAAAAAATCCTTCATAACCTAAATTTAATAAAATGCTCTCCCAACTTTTGAAGAATTGTCTGTCCCCTAAGAAATTAACCTTTCCAACAATAAAATAGGAATTGACTTACCTTACCAACAGCAAGTACAACAACATTTATCCTGGAAAGCATTTTTAGAATTCTCCTACTTACTCTGAGAAAGTGGGTCAATATTTTTATTTTCAGATTTTGGAATGTGGTCACAAATGCAAAGCAAAAGGATGCCCAAATTCATACTTCAAACGTGATATAAAATTACAAAACTCCCTGAGTTTCCAGACACATATTGGACCTGTCCAAACCTACCTCTCCTGTGATTCCCCATCCATCATTTATGAAGTCAAAGATGAAATACCTGATACTTTCTGTATCCCAGGAGAGAAGTCACAATATAGGCTGTAAGCGTTACTGGACTTTTATTGCCACCTTGAAGCTCCCTGTGGATCACTCTTCCTGGCTCCCAAAATTCACCATTGGATTTCTGATGTCCTTTGAGCCATTTATATGTTCTGTGTAACACATTCTTATCAATATCTATATAAGAATCAGCTTCAAGGAAACATCGTAAAACAAAGGCTGACAACCTTGGGGGAAAAGAGAGAAATGACGTGAAATATAATTAATAAAGTCCTCCAAATAATGCTAAGCAAGAAAGCACCAACAATAGCAACACTTTTTTCCCCATCAGAAGAGTCGACAAAGGGAGAATCACCGAAGAAGAAACAAAGGGAAGAACACAACAAAGAGGTCACACAAACAACTCCACTGAGCTGGGTAGACCTAGTTCCCACTTGAGTGTGATCAAGAAATTTCTGGTCAACTCACATCATCTCAGAATTAAAAAGGAATTTAGAAATCATCTAATACAGTCTCGCTACTTTATAGATTGACATTTTGACTGAGAATTTGATATCCCAAGAGAGTTAAATAAATGATCCAAGATTATTCATCTTTGGACTGTCCTACGTATATACCAAGGATGAACTTATTACATACTTCTCTCAGCCCTAAAGATATGACTAAAGTATATTTAGTTCACAAACTGCCATACTTTTAAGTAAAGAAAATGGATGTTTTCTTTCCCAGAGGACAGGAGGCGGCAAATTAAAGTCTAAGAGCTAAATCTGTTGGGCCAGGTCTGCTCTTTGTGCCAAATACAGCAGAGTCTGTTTTGGGGGTTGTTTTCTTTACCTCTCACCCTCTATCCTACATCTAAAAAGTTGTTTTAAATGGATAAAGAGAAAAAGAGAGGAAGGCGAGGAGAGGGAAGCATATGCTACAGAGACACCATGTGGTCTATAATGCCTAACTCACTTACTCTCTGAACCTTTACAGAAAAAGCTGGCTGATCCCTACTACAGAACACTAAGTATTGAGGTGAAAAGAACGTCAAGCAATAAAACACTGAAACCTTTCAATTTTTAGATCTATATCCTTACTCATGCCATAAGAAAACTTGAACCAGATCTGTTTCATCCTATAAAAAATGTAGTGTGGTAAATATTACTAATATTCAATAATATCCAGTTCCCTTTTACTTTCAGGGATTCACTTTCTTGCCTCCCTGAAGTGATACATGGCCATGTGACCAGCTTTGATAATGATAAAGTGAAAAGAAATGTTACACCCCGGCTGAAGCATCCAATTGCCAGGGCTGCATATTAACGCCTGAAGCTTCCCAGGTGAGGTGAGATGGTGGCAGCTGAAGCATAGACTGCAGTGCCCCCTGCTGGCCAATAATAGAAATGCAGCATGTGAAAGAAAGAAACCTCTGTTGTAAACAAGCTACTGAGATTTAAGGGGTGGTTAGCATAGCATGCCCTGTCCAACCGGACTGATACAGTCTTTTTCTGAGTGAAATATATAATTGAAGGTAGTAAGGCAAAAGCAAGGAGAGAGAGCAATCATCCAAAATCAGCCATGCAGAGATTCCATTCTGGAGGAAACTCTAGATATTCATTACTTAATCCCATACACATAAAAATAACATTAAACAAACTACACTGACTGCCTTAACACAAAATTCATGTTGATCATATAAATAAATAAATAAATAATGTCACAATCACTCGGTATTTCTAACTGAATTTTCTTGTCAGCCCTACCATCATCGTGTGGTATTTTTATTTTTGCTTTTTCCACCAAAAAGAAGACTTACGACCTACCTTTTCTAAACAAAAACACTTGCTTTGTTAGTGTTTGAAAATCATATTTAAAAAGGAGAATCTCTTTCAAAGCCAGGCTATGGGCAAAACAGCCTCAGAGCCTATATATACAACACATCTATCAATTTCATGGCCATTGTGACCTAGTGCGGGCCCATTCCATAACAAGGGTTTGTTCTGTTAGCAAGAACACTTACCAAGTGCTCCCGGAATGGTCATCATTCCCAAAAGCACTGAAAGAGCCATCATCCCTTTGAAAGAGAAGTTCTCTCTGGTAACCTGAAGACACCAAAATAGATCATCAATGTAATCAACTTGCAATGACTGCAAGTTTCTAATCATGCTTTCATACTGAGGAAACATGGGCAGAGAATAAGAAGACAAATTCAAATCAGCAACTAATATCAAATATTTTCCATGTTAAGTCCTGTAGAAAATGTAAAATACCAAAATGCAAAAAATAACAACTGTGATAAACCCAAATTAAAGTAAATTCAGAAGAATACTGAAACATAGACAATAATTCTAGCCACTCAAAAGCAAGCTAATTAAAGGCAGAGTTTTGTTTAACTCTGGAGTTTCCGGTCCAATGCTTTCAATACTTAGTCGCCTAAAATTGCTGGACAGGTAAGAAAAAAATCTAGAGTTTCAAATTAAAGTTTAAAGCTAAAACAGAAAGTAAAAATGCTTTTGCATTTTAGGCCAACAACGAAGGGATTTGGAGAAAGGGAGAATCGTAAAATAACTGAAGACAATGCCTCTAAAATTTTTGGCCATGGACAACTGAGGTAAATCAAAGACTGATTGGTCTGCTCAATTCTAATTTCTCACTTAAGAAAAAACAACTTGCCCTAACCAGTTTGGCTCAGTGGCCTGCGAACTGAAGGGTCCCAGGTTCGATTCCAATGAATGGCATGTACCTTGGTTGCAGGCACATCCTCAGTAGGGGTGTGCAGAAGGCAGCTGATCGATGTTTAAACTCTCTATCCCTCTCTCTTCCTCTCTGTAAAAAAAAAAAATCAATAAAATATATTTAATAATAATTTTTTAAAAACTTGATGGTGGTAATGAACTCATTATTGAAGTAAATTGGGGAGAGGGTTAAGGTTCATGTGTTTGCTTTAATAAATAAACAGTTATTTCATATTTGCAAATAAATGATTAAAAATAAGAGTCACATGTTTCGTAGCTGCAGAGTGATGCCTGTAGGTCTCAATGACTTAGAAATCATAGGCCCAAAACTAAAGACCACCAAACAACCCACAGCAGACATACTTGCTAAAAATGAAGTTAAAATAGCAATAACTTATCATTAAACATCAAGCATGAGCAATAGCCAAAAATATTTCCAACTCCAGGCATTATCAATGATTCTCTAATAACCAAGAATTCTTCCTGGAAATGACAGGGTTCCACCGCAGGCAGGTGAGGGCACACACTACATCCTTGCAGCACCCATGTAGAGCTGAGCAACCATGATCATTTGTAACATGTTCAACTTAATCCCTAGTGAAGTCTAGTAATAAACGTTTTTACTTAATCAATACCACATTTTAGAAGCTTCAATAATTATACAATAATTATTCATATCTGATTAACAAAACATAACCATTAAAATTTTAAATTACAGTTAACCTGATCTTTCCTTGCCCCAAACTTTTCTCCATGAGTCTTTCCACAAGAAACCCTAGATCTGAGTAGCTGACTTAGACTACAGGAAGACAAAACATTCAGAAAACAAGACTGTCTCATGGTGACCTTTAAGACCGATGGTAAAAGAAATATATCGATAGATACCATTTAAATGATGACAGAATTTTGCTTAATTTGAAGAAGGAGATACTGGGTTATAAGTTATATGTTTAAAACTAAAATATTATGGCACAGCAATTAAATAGCCAACCTTTATCCAACACTGACTCTGGGTCAGGAACTGCTCAAAGCCCTTTCAGGACCCAGGCAATCCTCAGGACAACCCTCTGATATAAATGCCACTAGTCTCCCTTTTCAAAGATGATAAAACTGGAACTTGGATACACTATGTGCCAGGTCACACTGCTGGTGGGTATTGAAGCTTGGCCTTAGCCAAGATCTCTTTGTCGGCAACTGCTGTTTCCTATTAATTCAGAGACCTCTTTCAATGACTTACGTATGAAAAGTCCTTAGCACAGCACCTTTCCCATGGCAAGCTCTCAATGAGCAACAGGTATCACTTCAACCCCCCAGTTATTTTTCAAAATTGGTCAATTTGACTACAAAACATTTTATTTTAAAATTTTCATGGCAAACACACTATTAGCAAAGTTACAATAAAAGATCGGTGATGAATTAGAAGAAAATATTTGCAGCACATAAGAGAAACAAATGCCTAATATCCCTAATAACAAAATTTATGTATATGTTTATATATAATTATAATATATTTATTCATATATAAAGAACATATTTAAATTTAAAGGAAAAATTTTTAGATCTCTTATAGTAAAAAAATAAATAAAAGACCAGAACAGACATTTTATAAAAAAACAAAGAAAGATGGACCTTAATATGTGAAAAGTATTCATCTTCATAATAGGCGAAATGCAAATTAAAGCTACATTGAGATACCATTTCTCACCCATCATATTAGCAAAGATTCAAAAGCTTGACCATTCATTCTGTCCGGGAAGCTATAAGGAGACCAGCCCTCATCATTGTTAGGGGGAATTCAAAATGGTATAGGAAAATGCCTATACCTTGTAACCCAATAATCCTACTTCTAAGAATCCATCCTAAAGATATACCTCCAACAATATAGGCATATTCATGCAAAAGTTTATTCATTGAAGCATCATTTGTAATTGCAAAAATATTGGAAATGACCTAAATGCCCCCAAATTAGACTCTGGTTGAACAAAATGTAGTGCATACTCACAATGCAGTATTATGCAGCTGTGAAAAAAGAACAGGTGCTATTTCTCTGAACTTAAGTGTACTAATTTGATGGCTATATTATTAAGTGAAAAAGGCAGTCTAAAATAGCATATATAGCATATAACCTTTTGCTTAAGAAAAAGAACCAAGAAAACAAAAAGAAACTAGAAACCAATGAAGTAAGTTACCTATAAGGATAGGGGGAAGGGATACAAGAGTTACAGATACCCTTTGCATATACCTTTCAGAACAGGTTTGACTTTTAGAAGAATTGTTCTACATATTCAAAAAATCAAATAAGAATGAAAAAAAGTTAAACTTTTGAAAAAAACAACACAGATTAGATCTCTTTTTCAGAGCTAGTCAGGGATCACAGAGGAGCAGAATAATGGTCTAATATTCACAAAAGAAATTAGCAAAAGAGTCCAAGACATTCTCCCTTGATTTCCAATTCAAGACTAAATCTACCATTCTGTGAACTCAGTCTGGCAGAGGAGACGGGAGGGGAGAGCAGGAGAGAAAGAAGAGGAAAGGAGAAAAAAGAGGAAAAGAGAGGAGGACAAAGAAAAGGAAAGATTCAGGGCCCTCCATCATTACAAGAGCTGCTCCAGTGAAAGGAAGGACCCACATGGAGAAGACGACCACGTGACTCCAAGCCCCAAATCACATCAACAACTGCAGTTCCAAGTATGAGTTATTGTAAAACCAGTCAGAGAGATGAGCTCATGGAGATGAGATCAGTGCTTATGGAAATTACCCCTCAGGTGGCTGACCTCCAGCAGTCCCCATTAATATCAACAACTAGCACCATTCTTCCACCAGGGGCAGCCAGCCCGGAGGAGGGGGAGGACTCGCGGACAATCTCCTGTTGGGGAGAGCATTTCTGGAGTTAGTTTAGATAAAACCGAAAAGCTAAGCCACCAGCCCTGCTCCGTGGTGAAATAAAGGAGAGAATCAGAGCCTGAAGAGAGGAGCGCACATGGCTCTCCTGGAAGGAGTCTCCTGTGACGTTCCCTTCCTCGTCCTAACCCACCTGTGCATCCTTAAAGAGCCCTCAGCTGCTAGTCCTCCAAATCACCCATCCCATAAGCAGAAATGGCACTGTTGGCTCAGCTGTAATGACTATCAATACAATTCCATGTAGTCACCCAAGCTGGAGGCATTTAATCATGATAGGTGAGAAAGGCAAAAGCGTGTTGTTCCCCAGAAGTTCATGAGGAAATAAGAGTATAACCTTTAAGTTCAGAGTTTTATGACTAGTTCTTGAGTTCGAAAGTAATAATACCGTATAACCAGAATTAACAGACACTCTGACAAAATACAGAAGAAGTCCAGAGGTCCACATGAACTGTCACTTAGAAAGGGCCAGAAAAGATGCATACTTACTGGGCCATGACTTTTCTTTTTGAAATAGCCACAAATGTAAAACATTTACAATTTATCATAATAAATATGAAAGCACTGTTCACAGAAACACACAGAAAAGTGACGTTCTAACGGTATTTTAATGTGGGTTACCTCAAATGTCAAAATTGCATACAAGCCAAAACTGATTTGGCTCAGTGGATAGAGTGTCAGCCTGTGGACTAAAAAGTCCCGGGTTCGATTCCGGTCAAGGGCATGTACCTTGGTTGAGGGCAAATCCACAGTCGGGGGTGTTTCTAAGTCTCTATCCCTCTCTCTTCCTCTCTGTAAAAAAAAATCAATAAAATATATATATTTTTAAAAATTGCATACAAAAAACAAAAGTTGTAAAATCAGCTCCCTGTGACTATATCAATCACTTTCTGTAAAAAAAAAAAAAAAAAAGCTGGTGAAAATATCCTCTGTACTAAAAGATAAGTAGTCATTATCAACTCCCTTCCTCTCTCTGACATGAAATGGAAGATGAGACCTTTCCCAGGTTTTTCAGTAACATCTTCCCATTCTCGTGATGGCCAAATGCAGCATCAGACTTCTGAAACCTACTTTTCCTCTGATTTTATTTCAATAGAGAAAATATAATGTGTTTTCAGCTAAGCCCAGTCTGAGTCTCATTTGAAAATCGAGCTGCAGGCGCTAGGATTTAAATATTTGAGGAAAACAAGTGTCTTCAATCTCTAATTAACAGATTCAGGCCTTATCAAAAACAGCTTTCATTTTACGGTTCTATTTTTCTTTTGACAGCAAAAGACACTTCATTCAATGATGTAGCTGTTGTTTTGGCTAAAACACAATGGGTCAGGTTACAGGGTTCTTGGGCCAAGCATGATTTAAGTAAAACAATGCGCTGTTCATAAATGACATTTAAATAATATAATCATGACTCATGCCAAAGCCACGTTAATTTCGTAAAAAATAAAAACAACAACGGTATATTTAAAGAACTTTGGCAAATGTGATGGCAAAAGAAAAAACAGTCTCTGAAAATGAGACGCTGATTTCATAATGAAAATCATTATAACAAGAAGTTTCTGTCCTTCGCTTTGAAATGTGATTCAGTTCAGCGTGTGAAATGGTGCCTTTGGGGGCGTTCCACTGTACAGACTTCCATCCGCCACTCCACCAGCTCCCAAGGCAAAACACTGAAAGCACTGGCCACGATTCCTAGCTGATAGGAACCTGCCTACCGTGTTGACAAATAACCACTGCATTGTGGGAGAACTTGAGAGATCTCCGAGACCCAATCTCCACATTAGGATGTGAACCTAAGGCCACAGAGGCCAATGTTGATAGTAATGTGTTCACCCATCCTGCATTTAGTGAAGCGCCAAGATAGGGACAATGGACAAGATATTAAACATGGTCCCCACTGTCAGGGAGCTTACCTTGTAGTGCAGGAGACAGCTAGATTATAAAAAGAATAAAAATAAAAAATAAAAAGGGGGGATGGAAGATATCTATAATACTATCAACAATAAAAATATATTAAAAATTTTTTAAAAATAAAAATAAAGCCAACCGATGTAGCTCAGTGGAACCAGGAACCAGGAGGTCACGGTTTGATTTAACAGTCAGGGTACAAGCCCGGTTTGCAGGCTCAGTCCCCAGTAGGGGGCATGCAGGAGTCAACCAAACGATGATTCTCATCAGTGATGTTTCTATTTCTCTCTCCCTCTTCCTTCTTCTCTGAAATCAATAAAAATGTGTTTAAAATATGTTTAAAAATAAAAAAACAAGATAATTTTAAATAATATTGTGTGGTGAATAAAAATGAAATGGGATAATATAAGTGAGAATTAATAAATGGTCAGGAAAGACCTCTCGGAAGAAAACACTACATGAGGGAAGAGAAGGAGCTGGTCACAGGAAGATCTGGGGGAAGAGCCTCCCAGGAGAAGGAGCACAAGTTTGAAGGCTCTGAAGCCCCAGGCGGGGAGCCAGCGGGGCAGCATCAGACAAGGTGGGGGGTGGATGCCAGGCTGTTCAATCGGGGCCTTGAAGGATAAGGCTGGGAACCCACTGGAGAATTTTAAGCAAGGCAGTGACATAATTTTGATAATTTCAAAAAATCCCTTTTATAATATGTGGAGACGGTGAGCACAGAAGCAGAGAGTCTATTAGCCCCTGGAGTGATCCAAGGCGGCATCGGAAGGGGAGAACCAGCCATGGGATAGACAGAGGGGAAGAAGCTCCCATTTGTTTTTAGAGGGAAATGGACCGGATTCACTTGCTGACTTTAGATCCTAACTCTGTAGGTAGATGCAACTGATGGCTGCTGCAAACTATCATGTCGTCTTCACAACAGTCTAGTTCCCACATACATTCCTCTCGAAACCAACAAATTAAATTTTGAATACAAGTGGGAATCTTGTCTTCTCAAGGTTAAATTATGACCCTTTCAAATACATTTTACTCATCTCCTTAAATACAACCATGGTGGCAATGTGCAAAGATCTCCTTTGAATTTAGCGTGACACACACTTCGATGCCACAGAGAGCACTCTGAGTTCAAATCCCAGCTCTGCCACTCACTTGCCCTAGGACCCTGGGCAAGTCAGTTAACTTTTCTGTGCCTCTGTTTCTTCATCTGTAAAAATAGATGGATACTACTAATTGTGAGCATTAAATGAGATATTAGATGTCAAGTGTTGAGAACACTGCCTGCCACATAGCACGCTTTCAACTAATGATCCCCGTTGGTATTAGCAAGTTGCAGACACAAAGTATCTGGTGTCTGCAAAACAGTAGGAGCCTCTCAAGGAGTCAGGGTAGAGTCACCACTGGTGTGCCCTTTTCTGAGAGGGGTCCAGCAGGGCCTCCCACACAAGCATCTCTCTCCTCACCCTCTGCTCGCTTTTTTACTTGCACTGAGAAGGTCCCCACATGGGACACCACCTGTGGGTCTGTCCAGGGGATTCCATGAGCGGAAAGGTCCTGACTTCCTCTGTGCCCGTGGCACTAGCAAGGGCTAAATGTTTAATGAGTAAGTGAACACTCATTCCTTTACATAGCTTTACATTTCATGTCCCTTATGAAAACACAAACCCCTCCCAAAACCAAACCCTTAACAAACACCTGAGCAGCAATCAGGAAAACAATGAGCTGAAGACTCACACTCCCAGCACATTTCAGCACCATGTGGTCCCACGGTCACATAGCAAAGACACAGCCTGCCTGTTTTGAAAAATGGTCTAGCATGAACTCTGCCTTTAAAAAAAATAATAAATAAAAGTATGTTTCTAGCCGAAACCAGTTTGGCTCAGTGGATAGAGCGTCGGCCTGCAGACTGAAAGGTCCCAGGTTCGATTCCAGTCAAGGGCAGGTACCTTGGCAGCATGCACATCCTCGGTGGGAGGTGTGCAGGAGGCAGCTGATCGATGTTTCTCTCCCATCGATGTTTCTAACTCTCGATCCCTCTCTTTCCCTCTCTGTAAAAACTCAATAAAATATATATATTTTTTTAAAGTATGTTTCTAAAATGCTTACCTTGAAAGGGGACATATGTAATACTGTCAACAATAAAGGTTTTTAAAATAAAATGAAATGCTTACCTTGTCTCATAAATGAAAGGGCTTTTTCTTTTAAACTCTCTGTCAGTTGTTTCTTTTTAGTTAGATAATCCAAAACATAAATATTTGGAGCAAAGCTTATCATGTTCTGTTCACCACAACCATAAGGCATCTGAATCAATGAGGTTAAGCCATGGATGGAAGGGCCAAGAATATCTCCTGAAAGCACAAAATGGTAACACATTCAGCAAATACCCCATACCTGGACCTGTTGGCAGCGAACAGACTTGCATAGAACAGAGTAGAAATTTTAATCAAGAGTTTAGGATGATTGCTCCAATATGTTGCTAATACAGTGATACTGAACTTGTAGATTACATGACAGATTAAGACACCTTTATCTCAGCTAAAGATACAGGCATACTTTAGACAACAAAATACATTTTAAAATAACTATTGAACAAAAATGTCAAGAATTAACCATAGCAAACCATCATTCTTATATAGGAAAGAAACAGTTTTTTAATTAATATTTTTTACATAAATAAAACTTCATTCTGATTTCTTTCTAACACACTACAAATACTAGAGAAATAATTTTTTAAAAGATAGAAATTGTAATATTTTTCAATATGCTTTATTTAGCAGCAACGAAGTGGAACTAACAAATAGAAACATTTCAATGACTTTCAGGGTCAAAAAGGTTAGAAATACTCTTCAAAGATAGTTACAGAAAATTAAACAAAATGTGATTAAAAGACTTCTCTCCCCACATTCTAACACCATGACTCAGGGAAATAAGTAAAAATTCAGAAATATAGAGGTTGAGTTCTAATTCTGCCCCCATTGAGGTTGAGCTATATGGAGAAGAATATTCTTCTGTGTAGTTTAGAAACATACTGTTTCAAGTTCAAAAACCTAATGAAAAATCTGATCCTTTTAAAAAAATGAATCCTAAAAGAGAGGAAGAACTCTTTCTTATGAGTAGGCTGCAGTCACACTACCGTGTGATGTCAAACTTTATATGTTAACATAAATATCTAAATAAAGGTTATATTATTACCACTGCAAGTTCTGTTTCTAATATTCAGAGTGAACATAAACATAGACTTTCAAAATTCAAAGAGCAAGCTGATATTCAAACATTCTGGGCTACCAAATAGTCTTTTTAAAATAAAAACCATATCGCCGAAGCCGGTTTGGCTCAGTGGTAGAGCGTCGGTCTGTGGACTGAAAGGTCCCGGGTTCGATTCCGGTCAAGGGCATGTACATTGATTGCGGGCACACCCCCAGTTGGGGGTGTGCAGGAGGCAGCTGGTCGATGTTTCTCTCTCATCGACGTTTCTAGCTCTCTGTCTCTCTCCCTTCCTCTTTGTAAAAAATCAATAAAATATAGTTTAAAAAAATAAATAAATAAAAATAAAAACCATATCAAAATAAAACTTGAGCCAAAACCAGTTTGGCTCAGCGGTAGAGCATTGGTCTGTGAACTGAAAGGTCCCAGGTTTGATTCCAGTCAAGGGCATGTACATTGGTTGCAGGCACATCCCTGGTAGGGGGTGTGCAAGAGGCAGCTGGTCAATGTTTCTCTCTCATCGACGTTTCTAGCTCTCTATCCCTCTCTCATCCTCTCTGTAAAAAATCAATAAAATATATTTAAAGAATAAATAAATAAATAAATAACTTGAAAGGCCATTCTCTACCTCAAGCTTAAAAGAGCACGTCAATGACCCTCGATAGGTTTGTTCCAATGTACAGGGTGATGGTTTGGCTGAAGTACAGGCTGATGCCCTAAATGGTGTGGCTCAGTGGATATAGAGTGTTGGCCTGGGGACAGAAGGGTCCTGAATTTGATTCCGGTCAAGGGCACATGCAGGAGGCAGCCAATCAATGATTCTCTCCCATTATTGATGCTCCTATCTCTCTCTCCCTCTCCCTTCCTCTCTGAAATCAATACAAATATATTTTAAAAACAGAAATAGATAAAAATGAACAAAATTCAAGGCTCTTCCCTTTGTGTGCATATGTGGACTGCATCCTCCCAACATTCCCCACACTGCAAGAGATGTCTATACAGAATTTATTCCCCTAAACAAAGAGTTTATTTAATTCCTTTTAAAGAGTTATATCTGCCCTAGCCAGTTTGGCTGAGTGGGTAGAGTGTCAGCATGGTGACTAAAGGGTCTCAGGTTCAATTCCAGTCAAGGGCATAAGCCCGGGTTGCAGGCTCATTCCCCAATAGGGGCGTGCAGGAGGCAGCTGATCCGTGATTCTCTCTCATCATTGATGTTTCTATCTCTCTCTCCCTCTCTCTTCCTCTCTGAAATCAATAAAAATATATTTTAAAATACCTTTTTAAAAAGTCATATCTAAGGTCCCAAAGAAAGTCGTCTACAGAGGAATTGGTTACTTGGGGTTATAATAAAAAGCATTACACTTGCAGATGACATGTAAAAGAACCTCTGAGAAAGTGCCTAAGGTCCTAACACCTTGAAAACCGAACCATTTCGATGTCACTAATCTAAACATTTCTTTAGTTTGTTAGAAAGCACAACTATATAAACAAAGTGTTTGTGTGGAAGATCTCTTTAATAGTCAATACAAAAGTACTTTTCAGGCATCAGCAGGAGAGCAGGAGAGGATGCCTACAGTCAGTGGGTAGCTTCCTACTGTAAAGGTGGCTTGTGTCCTGCACAGACAGCTCCCCTAAACAGCAGCCCTCAAACTCCAGTGCTCAGAATATACCTTCCCTAGCCTTAGCCAGTGAGATTCTGACTGAGGAGGTAGGGAGTAGAGCCCAGATATTTGTGTCTTTACGAAGTGCCATAGAAGATTCTTTTATTGTCGGAACTTGGGAGCCACAGAAGCCAGAAGTTCTGTCCATAGAAATAGCCTCCCCCTGCAGCCACATTATAATGGGGCCTTACTGCTCAAAAGTAGCCTGCACACCAGATGTATCAGCATCAGCTGGGAGCTTGTCAGAAATGCAGAATCCCAGCCCCAGCCCCAGCCCACTAAACCAGGATCTGCCTCTAAACAAGAACCCCCAGGTGATTCCTATGCACATTGAACACTAGAAGAACTGGTCTAGGAAACATATCTTGCTAGCCTTCCTATTGTGAACTTGCTAGCCTTTCTATTTGGTACCAACTGAAAACTTCTTGCAACCTCTTCTTGTTTTAACTGAATAAGAAAATGCGGTACATCTACAAAGAGATGAAAACATATATTATCATGTACAAATGAACCAGTAGTGATGGAGATAGACTCTATTCTTACCAACAACAGTGATCTGAACTCTTTCACTGCCTTCCACTGTATTGGGAGGAAAGGAGAAACTCAATGTTTTCTGTGTAGTTTGCAGCTTGTCATTCAATTCCAACAAGACAGATTGTGAATATATTTTTTCTATTCCTTCTCCCTGTTGAAACAAAAGCAATATAAGTAATGTGGTCCCTACTCATCAGTTTACCAGGAACTGTACACAAATCATAAGACAGACATTTGGCCTGTTGTGTCTACAAGTGTGTACAGTTAATGCCTACCATTTCTTGATTCTTGCTTCAAATCTGTTAATAAGTGTTTATTTTCTAGTTTAGGCAAAACATTTCATGGAATGGTAATGGAAATGACAAAGCAGAAAATGAAAAGGTAATAAGAAAAATCTCTCTGAGATAGGTTCTATTATTACCCAAGAGAGAAATTAAATACCTTTCCCAAAGTCACACTTGACAGAGCTGGGATCTGAGCACAGGGCTGCCTCACCTCAGAGTACCAGTGCTTACCCACTATGCTGAGTGGTCTTTTTGTGTATAATGTGTTCTCTAAAAAAAAAAAATCTACAAAATCTCTCCTACCTGTGCTGAGGAAATTCAAAATTCAAAATCTACATGTCCACTTAGCATGATTTAACAGGATCCCATTGTAACACAATTTGTAAATGTAATTGACTACAAAAGAGACTTGCTTTATAGTCATACTATAAATGTATCTTTTATTTATTTTAATCCTTACCCAAGGATATGTTTTTCAATGATTGTAGAGAGAGAGAGAGGGAGAGAGAAAAACATTGATGTGAGAAATGGATCAATGTGAGAGAGAAACGTCAATGTGAGGGAGAAACATTGATGTGTGAAAGAGAAGCATTGGTGTGAGGGAGAAATATGCTTGGACCAGGAATCAAAACCGAAGCCTTGGTATGTGCCCTGACCAGGAATTAAAAGCAAGACCCCTCTGACACTCTAACCAACAGAGCTACACTGGCCAGGGCATTCATATTATAAATTAAAGAGAGGCCCTAGCCAATTTGGCTCAATAGATAGAAAGTCAGCCTGTGGACTGAAGGGTGGCAGGTTTGATTCCTTCAAGAGCACAGGCCTCGGTTGCAGGCTTGATCCCAAGCCCTGGCGAGGGCAAGTGTAGTGGGAAACCAATTGATGTGTCTCTCTCACACTGATGTTTCTCTCTCTGTATCTCCCCCCCTCTCTTCCATGCTCACTAAAAATCAATGGAAAAAAACATCCTCTGTTGAGGATTAACGAGAAATAAAATAAAATATACAGTAATTAAATTAATTAAATAAATTTAAAGAGGAAATTGGCAAGTACTTCCAAAGTATAGTATATTTGTACATATAGATGGGGGGGGGGGGGGAATCATTAGGCATTACCAGAAGGATAGAGAAAGTGAGCTTGCATGTCTTGCCAACAAAGCTAAACAAGAAAAACTATCTTCTGTTTCCTTTCCAACTATGTATTTCCATTTCATTTATCTGAAACTCCAGCCACTTACCTTCACTAAAACGTTCTGGGTGACAGCATCAGAAGCAGCAGGTGAAGTAGCTATGACTGTGATAGGAATTTCCCCCAGATGTTTTGGATTGACTGGGAAGGTAACAGTCACCCCATCCTCACTGGGGACCACAATGGTCTGCTGATACCCTGTGACATTGACTTTATTTGAAGCAATTAGAATATCATATTTGTCACTTTCCTTAATGGTCACATTAACCTGAAAGAAAAATTATCAAAGATTTTGTATAATAAATACTCCTCTGTAAAGTGTTAACAGTATTACTATTTTAAGTTCTATTTATCTGTGAGGCCCAAGACTAGAGAAAGATGAGATAGATCCAGTCAAGGAGAGGATGAAAGGGTACCACGGAAAACTTCATTGCTTTCTTATGCTTTCCCATCTACTTCAAGATATGTGGGGAAAGGGTGCTCTTCAGAACATTAATTTCTCTTGTTATCTGAAGCCTCTGAGTGGTAAGAAGGTGCCCAGAAAGGTTATTTGTGTCATGGTTTGCCACCAGCCTGGTTTTACCATCATTCTGGGACACTGGTCTTCCTAGAAAAACCTGAGACCAAAGGATGAAATGCTGTGACATTCATTGAGAGTCTCTGCTAAAATTATCCCAAGGAAAGTCTGCCCCAGACATTAGCACTGAAGCATATACTGGTGGTCAACTTTGTAACATACGCCAAAGTTGCAGTCCCATCAAAATGAGCATTTCTCTAGGCCTTGCATGTTGTGACTTGTTTTCCCCATTTACTTTCTCAAAACATTTTCTGTAAAGATAATAATTATTATTCCCATTTCACAGATGAGGAAGACTACAACTAAGTTATTTGCTGGTAAATGGTAGAATGGAATGCTGAGTCCTGGCCTTGGACTCCAGAGCTTAGGAGTCCATGTTGACTAGACAAAAAACTAAAGTTTTAAAACAAAAATCGATTTGCCTAGCCAGCGTGGCTCAGTGGTTGAACACCAACCTAAGAACCAGAAAGTCACGGTTCGATTCCCAGTCAGTTGTGAACTCAATCCCCAGTGTGGGGCTTGCATGAGGCAGCCATCATTGATGTTTCTCATCATTGATGTTTCTCTCTCTCTCCCTCTTCCTTCTTCTCTGAAATCAATAAAAATATTTTTTAAATTAATAAAATAAACAATTTACTCTATGGACATAGTGCTTAAAGAGATGACAGCATTTTCGTGAAGTACAGCTAATAAGGTAAATTACATATTCCTACTTACTCTGGGGGGGGAAAATAACCAATCATTTAGTTATGGACACAACACAAACAGTGAGCCTAATCCTGCCTTCCAGGGAACTGACACACTAAGGAGACACAAGGCACATGGCTCAAAACACCAAGCCCTGGAAACAGACACCCTGAAAAATTTGTGAGGACAACACACGGAACAGAATGGTGAGGAAAGGCATCTTAGTTTCAAGCCAGGTCTTGAATGGAATAAATTCTTGCCAACCTCACTGGGCAAAGAGTGGCAATGACAAGCGGCAACACATTCTAGATGTGAGTCAGACTAGGAAAAACTGCAGACGGCAGGAAAGAGGAAGACCTGCCCCAGAGACAATAGGGAAGTTATGTGGCTAAACTGGGGGGAAATGTGCTGGAAAGGTCGGAGAAGGGATAGAGAATGCTTTATCATGTGAATAATATCCCTAGATGTTAATAAGCAGAAGAAATCACAGCCCAAGGATGTTTATGCTCATTCCTCCAGAATGGATAAAGGGCTTAGATACCCAGAGCCTGAACACTAACCAAACCAGTCCCTACACGTTTCTTCCTGTAGTATAAGTGGTTAACAAAATCTTTCATACATTACCTCAGTGGGATCTTTCAAATAATTGAATATGGTTACTTCCAAAGCAAATTCTTCCCCTCTGATCACAGAGTAGGGAAGATTCAAAAAAATGAAAAATGGCTGAAAGACTTGCAGCTGGAAAAAACACAATGAACACATATTTTATTCATATCGAAATGCTTCACATTTTATTGAATTAAAAGCAAATCTCACAAAACCTAGGAAGCTTAACTTCACATAGAAATGTCCACTTGCCTATCAACATACAGCAAATGGCAGCTTATCACAAATGAATACGGTAAATTGATTTGATTTATGTTACCTAACGCTAGACTTTATTAAGGGCCTACTAGGAACCAGGTACTTTACCCACATTAACTCATTTAATCATTACAACCTTAAGAGGCAGTGTTATCCTCATATTTTACAGAGGTTAAAGAGGAAGCTCAGAGACCCTGTAACTAGTATAAGATCATAGTGCCAGTAAGTGGATCCCAATGTGTGTGGTGTCAAAGTCAAGTTCCTCTGCTACTGTGTTATACTGACTCCACCATTCTGCTTTAGAAGCCACCAACCAAATCAAAGACTGTTTCAGACTCATGTGCAAAGTCTAAATGATGGGTCTGCCTACTTCTTATAACTTACATATGCAGACACCTGTACTTCCTCATTGGGGACTTAACTCCAATACTGTTGGCCAAGTCCTGCAGGAGAAACTGAACCTTCCCCTGCCTCTAAGGAGAAGCCTCAATTCCTTTGAGCCCGTCGTTCCCACTGGCAGCAGGATTTCCCTCTAGAGGTTGATTTGGGCATCTGTGGAAGTGTCTTAGGTTGCTACAACATTTGAAGGAGCAATTGGCACTTAGCAGGTGAAGGCCTGCAAGACTCAGGAGTCCCAGACAACTAAAAATGGTCCCATGTCTCTCATGAGTCTTGAATGTCTTTTCAGGCATCCATGTAGACAATGTGCCTGCTTATAAGAACCTGAACTTACAACATAATTCCAACATAATGTAAAGCCAAAACATTTTTCAATGCACACTGAATTTCTCATAAATACAACTGTTTTAGAAGTCAAAAGAAGACCATACTTGTTTTGTTTGTAACATTGCTAAAAGTTGTTCACAGTTTCAAAAATTTATATCACCACAGGCAGCTAAAACAATACAAGTATGTCAACTGCATCTCTGTGCATGATAGAAATATTTAAATATGTTATGTCTTCTAATGCAGCTATGCCTGCTCATTTATATCCTGAAATATGTATTATTTTATTATACATTACCATCCTTTTATTTCTCCTTAATATATCACTTAGTGTATCGTATTGATTTTCAATTGAATATGTAAATATAGTATATATTCTATGAATTTCATTTTTATTCGTAGAGGGACAAAACAAAATATCTGTTATAAAAAGGGGCTTCAGCTACGACCAAGGATAGTTATTATATTCCTCTTGCCAGTGACTGGTTTAGGAAGTGACCCGTGATGCAGTTTAACCCAGGAGATGTGAAGGAATGTCTGCCTGGGCACATCTTGAGAAGTTCTGTTTGTCCTTGAAAGAGGGACACACAGAAATATTCCCTGTCTTCTGACCTTTGGAAGTGTTTGGATTTGGTAAATAGTAAACTTTCTATCCAAATCTTAATATGGATCCAGCATATTTAGTAGCTTAATACAACTCACATTCTTAAAAAACCCCAAACACCTAGGGATTTCTAAACCGTGGTAAACATCAAAAGCAACCCTTTTTTTTAATCTATTGAGGAGTTGACACTTTCTTCACTTCATGACACTGTAACATTTATAAGCAGCATTTTAATACGCTACCTCCACTGGAGCAGGTGTTAGTCCAAAACCCAAGTCCTCAGAGACCACAAAACCAGTAGCTACCCAAGAAGTGATAGAATCAGGTACAGTAACTTCAAATTCTTGGTAAATCTTGGAACTGAAGTCAAGAAAAATATAAAAATCACAAAACCAAGAACTGATACATTTCAAATTAAGTAACATGAGCTAAACCATTTTTTGGAAGAATATTAATTCTTCAAAACACTTACATATCTAAAATTTTTTAAGATTTATACATAAAACAACAACAAATAGGTCATAATAAGACCATACTGATCCATATTAAAATAAAAGCTTTCTACAGTGTTTATATCTTAAAGATGAACGTTATTTTCATAAAATTTTGTATATATATAATAAGTATGTTTTTTCAAATAACTTTAATTTCATCTTTCAATTTGCATAAAAGATTCCGTAAATAGTAGACTATAAAACACGTATAGATTTCATGATTTACCTGTTCGGTCATCAGACAGGTAGCACAGGGTTTGTCACCTAAGTGAATTCCTTACTCCACTCACACCCATTTCCCTGTGGCTCAGGGCAATGTATAATATTAAGAGGAGTCACAAAGTAGAGAAGGTAACCAGGGGTGCTCTTCACCCCAAGGCAACAAATATACTCAGCAATTTTTCTATAATGAATCAAAAGACTTCAAATAAGTTTTTTAAAAAAATCACCCTTCATTAGCGATGACTGCCACAATTCACATGTGGCTTTACTAAATACTATACTTATTTGCAATCAAAATCACTTCGAAATAAAAACCTCTTGGTCTATTTAGTTCTTAATCACACTCTGTTTGTACTTAACAAAAAGATGGCAAAACTTCTTTAAAACTAACACTAGACAAAATATACATGGGCAAACAACTTTTTTACCCCATGTTGGTGTCTAGCCAAATCCAAGTCTCTGGAAAATCTTTTCTGACACGTGGATTGTCAATTGAATCAAAGTCATAGGAATCTCCCATATTTCCATCATTTCTCCCGTTGTACACCTCATCAAATATACCGTCATCTAAAAATAAACATTGGCAACTGTAAGGGGGGAAAAATCACTCTAAACAATGATTATAAACAATCCACAGAATCACAGCATCTCTCAGCTGAATGGGATGTTAGAGTTCATCTTGTCCAATCCTCTCATTTTACAGATGAGCAATATGAGAAATTTAATGACTTGCCCGAGACCACCTGGCCAGGTACAACCAAGGGAGAAATTAAAAAATAAAATTTAAAAAAGAAAAGACCTTTCCTGCCTCTATGGCCAATATCCCCAAAACTACTGACAGTTCAGTTGCTAAAAATTCAGTTAAATCACATTTTTAAAGCTACCTCCTTTTTTGCTATTCTCCTTTTTTTAGCTCTCTAATGCTGATCACCATTGCCTATGCTGGCCATAAGATGCCACTAACTTTATTCTTATTTTTAAAACCATATTGCCACACAGACTCTGGGTCACCTATCTCTATTCTTGCAACTCATCTATAAGTCTAAAATTATTTCAAAATAAAATGTAAAAAAAAAAGTATACTATAATAGGTATCAACGATGCAAAAATGAATGTAATGAGCTCCACTCTATGGAGGAGGGAGACAAATAGAAAACTGTAGCAAACTAGCAAACAAGAACAGTTAATTTTACACAGAATCTGGATCGTGAAAAAGAATATGGCTATGGGGGAAATTCCATTTTGCATTGTTGTGGCCATTCCATTTTCCTTCTGTCTCCAAATAAAGAGTATCCCATATGGTGAGGGGAAGTAAATTAAGTACAAAGGCATGTCCACAATATGACAATTAGTACTAGGCAAAAGTGGCATACAAGGAGGGGGGAAAAGAATGGCTGGGTCCACATTTTTAAATATACAAATATCATGCTGAAGGGTTTGGACATAATCCTTTAAGCAAAGATGACCTATAGAAGGTTTTCGATGAGTTTGAAACATGCTCTAACCCATGTTTTATAAGATAACCCTCCCCTCAGTGTGAACCACGGTTTAGAGCTGGGGGAAATGGAAGCGGGCAAAACTGTTAGTTGGGAAGCCACAGCACTAGCCAAGGAGGCACTGCTAGGAGCCTGAGACCAAAGAGAGGAGAGGGAGGATGATGTCAGTAATTCTGTTCTGTCTCCTGTACCGCATGACTGGATGAGCTCTGTGTGAGCCCAAGGCACCCTGCACTTCCCCCATCAGCACACTCTTCTCCCTATGTGTTGCTTTGCCCCACGAGACCAAGTTGGAAGCTCTGCTGCCTCGTACGTGATAAGCATGCAATTAATATCATCACTATCTTTTGAAGAATGAATGAACAAACTGGATTTGGGGGATAATATTATAGGTAATTGTAGACTTAGATGTGTCAAACAAGTGTTAAACATTTATATGCTTTTGAATTTAACCTCACAACAACCCTGTAATACAAGTAATATTATTAGTCTTATATTTCAGGGAGAAAACTGAGGCTTGGAGAACTTAATTTATTTTCTCGGTCATAAGGTCAGAATTCAAAGCCAGAAGTATTTGGTGGAAAATCCTTTTCTTAACCACTATGCTGGCCCACACCTGACAAGAAGAGAAGGTGAGTTCTGAGGTTTCTATTTGGACATCTGAGTCAATAACGATTTAATTAACAGAGATGTGAAATCATATCAGTTCAAGGAATCATATATCAATCAAAACATATTAAGGAAGAGTGAGGTTGTAAGAAGAGACAATATCATAAACTTGGTCTGTGATATATTGGATTTAAGGTAATTGTGGGGCATCAGAGGGATGCATAAACAGAGGGGTAAGATAAAGTTGAGTTGTTCCAAAGTTGAGTTTAAAAAACGATGTCATGGGAGGGTCTGAGGAAGTATTCTACCAAATTGAGTCAGCATATACTAGTAGTCCAGGCCAGAAATAGGAGGAAAACAGAGGCAAAGGAACCAATAACTCAGAATAACAAGAAGACCAAATAGGATATTTAATAGATTTTTAAGGGATTGAGAGAATATACAAGGCAGAAGGATAGGCATTTGAAATGTTAGGAGTGGAGCCGTGTTCAGGTGATAATATGACCTTGGGTGACTATTATTTCCTCAATGGTGATCACAGGACAGCACAGATTAGATGGATTGACCACATGGACATTCAAATCTCCCAGGATGACAACAGGAGTAAGACTTTGAATCTTTTGTGAGAGCATTGAGATAGAGAAAGGGAATGGAAAAGTTGTTGACCTGAATTTTGATTAAAGGAGTTATAATTAAAACTTTATGAGCTTCAAATAATAAGGAGCTCTTAACTGAAGATTGTTGAACAGTGGGCCTTAAAGTAACTAAGAAAAAATAGCCAAAAAAAATGCCCTATGTTACCTACTGATCCTGATCCAAAGGAGAGAAAGATAAATAAATGTTTATTTGAGAAGGTGTCTCAGGATACAATCACTAGTAAGAGTATCAGGTGTTTTTGTTGTTACTATAAAAATGTAGCAGAGAGTTCTCAGAAAAAGGTAAAGGATACAGGAAGTATTACTAACAATAGGATGAGTATTACAGTGGGCATCAAAAATTGAAAAGATGAACAAAGATGTGTTAAAGCTGAGACTGACAAAGAGTGAATAAAAAAAGACGAGATTGCTTGAAAGGCTGTCTAGGATAAGTAATTATATGAAGGAAGCTAAATGAACCATATGTCTTTAATGTCATAATGACTCCAAAAATCTTTGAGACTATAAAATTACCCTTTTACAATAGTTTCAGGAAAGAAGCTCAGGTATGTAGCAAGAATCAACCCAATGCCAAAGAGCTTGGTGTGGAGAAACTCAGAACATCTGACAGAAATAGGAATTTAGGGATAGAGACTGTGACCTTTCAAGATGATATGAGTGTAACTTGAAAAAAAACAGAACTTCTAGAATCATTTATTCTTATTTATGCATTTCCTCAGTCAAAATATTTCATAATTTCTTCCTAAAAGTACACTTATTATTAGCTGAGTGACCAACTGTATTTACCAATCTAGGGAACTAGATGTGACTCCACCAGGAAGAACTCAGATTGATGTGATGATGATGTGTGTCTGTGTGCACACATACTTGTGTGTGTGTGTGTGTGTGTGTGTGTGTGCACGTCAGTATACTTTACTAGAGGCCTGATGCACAAAATCCGTGCAAGAGTAGGCCTTCCTCCCCGAGGCTGCCCACACCAGCTTCCCTCGACTTCTGGGACTCAAGCTTCACTCTGGCCACCAGCAGGCACCAGGAACCCAGGCTTCCCTTGCAGCCCTGGCTTGGTCTAGAAGGATGTCTGGAAGGACATCTGGTCTAATTAGTATATTATGCTTTTATTATTATAGATGGTGAATATTCTAGGTGGAGATCAAAAAGCTAGAGAACAAAACTGTTTCAAAAACATATTGCTCCTTTTATCTAATTCCAAAATAACATCACAGTTTGCAATAAAAATTGGAAGCATAGGATTTTCCAATATGTCCAAAAATGTCATCATCTGAAAGAATGACAGAGAGCAAATGGAAAGCATTAATTTCAAAGAAGCCCAGTTAAAGATTCCATGTCATGCTCAGATGTACTCCTAAATACATTAAACTCCAAACATTTTAGGATACGAGAACAGAAAATAAATATCACAATATCCATGTTCCATATAAATAATGTTAAATAGCTGAGATGAAAGACTTAAAATATTTGAAAAGCATTTGGTCAGGTTTTACTTACAAACACCATCAATGGAATCCTTCCTAAGGCTGGCATCCGTCAATACCCAGAGGCCACATTCCTAGAAAGAATAATTAAAATTTTCTCTTAAAAGGTTAATACTATCTAAATTGCCACAGCACTCTCCCACACTCGCCCTCACTTTTGCTCATTTTTTATGGTAAAGTCATTTTTTTCACTCTTGCTCACTTTTGAGTGTTTAGATATGTACTTGTGTATACATTCTCATTCTCTCCCTCCTCTCTCTCCTCTTTCTCTTATATACAGACAGATGCACACACATACCCACATGCATAACAAGTCAATGAAAGTGATATAAAGGAAAAAAGTATTTGTTTAATGACAATTCCTTTAATTTCTATAATAGCGAGTTTTTCCATTTGCTTTTAAAACTGGAAGGATGATTCTTTCCACTTCAACTTACATTTACATAACACTCTGTACTTCAGCAATGCATTTAATAAAGGATTAATACTTTATAAATTTAAATCATCAATTCTAAAAGTGGTTGCAAGAGTAAAAATATTAATATAATTAATCATTTCAACTAAACATACCTGAAAGACTGCAAAAGAATTCATGAACATGCCTAAATAATATCCCCTGTTATAAAGTTCCAAATCCTGGACCACCTAAGGAGAAGATAAAATATATGGAATGGATAGATTCATACAAACCTGTTCTGTGCTGTGCAACATTTCTTATATGTAATTTAGATAAGACACGGCCAGCATACTTATCAAATTTGAAAATGACACAAATGGAAAAATAATTAATATGTAAATGTCTAGCTCATGATTCATTCAGTCAAAATCACATTTCTTATTTAAACTTGTTTTTACTCTGTTTACCAATCAAAAGTTCCTAAGAACTATGGACTTGAGTTTTTCCCAAGAGGATTTAAATGTCTACTGGCTGACAAGACCAACACACAGAGGTCAGCATTAAAATGACCAATATGTTTGGCAGAGATAAGCAAACTAAATTCAATGGTTAAACTAAGTTCTGCAAAATATCAGTTAAATTTTTTTTTTAAATAATACAAAGAGAAAATTCACAAATGATGAAATACAAATTACTAATAAGCAGAAAATATAGTCAACTTTGTTGATAAAGCAATACAAATTACAACACCCATGAAATGGTTTTGCAGAGATATTTGCATGTATCACATTAGCGATGTTAATTTTTAAGAGCAGTATTCATTACTAGCAAGAGTGAGTAAAATTGGCAGTTTCTAAAATAGTTAAACACAGAATTAGACTAGGCCTGGCAATTACACTCCTATGTATATATATATACTCAAAAGAACTGAAAACAGAGACTCAAAGAGATCTTTGTATGACAATGTTCATTGCAGCATTAGTTACAATAGCCAAAAGGTACAAACAACTTAAGCATTCATCAACAGAAGGATACATGAACAAGATGTGGTATATGCATACAACAGAGCATTATTCAACAAAAACAAACAAAACAAAACAAAACAAAACAAAACAGAAAAAACAGTTTTGATATAAGCTACAATATGGAGGAACCTTGAAGACATTATGTTACAGGAAATAAGGTAGACTGAAAAGGACAAATATTGAATGACTAGTGGCCCAGTGCACACTAGTCATTGTGCACAATGAAAGGATATTAATTTAAAAAAATATTTTACGGTAATATGGCTATTCACCCTTTCTCAATAACAGACCAAATTCATGATTGACAATGACAGATCAAAACACATGCATGCGGTCAAAGCCGGTTTGGCTCAGTGGTGGAGCTTCGGTCTGCAGACTGAAAGGTCCCAGGTTCGATTCCGGTCAAGGGCATGTACCTTGGTTGCGGGCACATCCCCGGTAGAGGGTGTGCAAGAGGCAGCTGGTCGATGTTTCTCTCTCATCGACGTTTCTAGCTCTCTATCTCTCTCCCTTCCTCTCTGTAAAAAATCAATAAAAAATATATTTTTTAAAAAACAAAAAACCCCCCTGATAGTTAGGGCCTGATATTCCCAAATATTTTTTTTAAAATAAAAATTAAAATAAATAAAAATTAAAAATTAAAACATGCATGCGATTGGCACCAGTGAGACCTTTATTGTATCACGTATGCACAAGTTAACTTAGCCTTTAATATTCATATATATATATATATATATATATATATATATATATATAATAAACTTGCTTAATTAGACTTGCTTTCTGATTTAGCTAAACTTTTTCCAGCCCAGTGAAGCACCCCAACTCCTATTCCAGGTAATTGTCAGCAACACAGCAGTAAATATCAAGATGAAGCACATTATTATGTAGATAACACAGGGAGAACAAAGGGTAAAATATTTAACTGTAACAGTGTTTGACTACATTCTGTGTAGTGAGAAAACCTGAAGTCATTTTCAAGGTCACTATTTCTTCCTTCTTTTCAGTTGCGTCAAATTTCTAAACTGTCTAAATCTCTGTTTTCTGGCTAATGAAAAGAAAATGGGATCCTCCCAGTCTCCTATCTACCTACTCTAGGATTTCTGTGAGAATCAAATGAGATGAGGCAGGGGAAAACACTTCACATTTTGTTACAGTGTAAAATGTTTCCACCTGGCTATAAAGCAAGTCGTGTTCCTGGGCTGAAGAAACTCCAAGAAGGCTGGTCGCTAGGGAGAGGAAGCTGGGTGTTTTTATGTGATGTTATTTACCCGGTGCCCATAACCACTGGTTCAGGATGGGCTGGGCTGTGGGGCACATTTTGCACCATGGGGTCTCAGCAGCTTAGGCTGCAATTTGGAGGGGTATTGTTCTGAAGTGGTGGTGGGGCCTATGTCCCACTTGGGAGAAGCCAAGTGTTGCTTTGTGGACACCAAGTCCGCAGTGTCATTTATTGTTAAATGGCCTGTCACTAGGGAAAGGAAGCCAGGTGTTGCTATATGATGTCATTACCCAGCGCCACATAAGCCTCTTTCTAACGTAAGGACTAAAAAGCAGATCCTAATTTATTTGGAAGCTTTCCTGGCTATTAACTTCACCTGAAGTGGAACTAATGAAATTTCTTTTAGATATCTGAAGTCATGCAATAGTTTCTCTTTCACGTGTATTCTTGTAATAAGACACAGCTAAACTCACATTTTCCATTATAATATCATTTGAGGCCTTCATCAGGTACACACTTTTGTCAACAGCTAAAATCCCCATTATCGACTGGGGCTCTGTCACAGAGATCCTCAGAGAGACTTTCTCAGATGGCGTAGCAACAGGTTTACTCCAAAATAGGTTTATCTAAGAAAGGGAGAAAACTGGATTGATTTCACTGGTTAAAGCATCACTTACCAATAATAGAGGTATGCTTCAAAATCTAGCAAAAATTTTACAGTTGCCATGACTCAGAGATCATTCTGAAATCATACATATGCCTTCTCAAGGAAAAGGAATTTTAAAAAGAAAACTTTATTCCCACAGTGTTTGCAAGTGATGGAACTTCTCACAAAGCCAGAAATCTAAATTACCCTTCACTTCTCTACCTTTCCTCTTCCCCTTCACCATCCCTCACAACTCAGCTCCCACCCAATGCTAGAGAGAAAACAGCAGTATTACATATGTAGTAACTAAATGTGAAGAGATTTAAGCACAGTTCTAGAAATGAATATAAGTTTCTCATCAGTTTTGTTTAATGCTACTTTTCTAAAGAAATATTGCATTTCTCAGACTTCACAAATATCAAGTTTTCTTATAAATATCATTACCTGAAACCTTACCTTATTTTTTAAATCAAGTTGAATAGGAATTTTTAGAACATCATTTATAATTTCCCCATCATCTTCAATATAATACACAATGATACAGGCTTTTGGAGCCCAAGAATTTTCTGGTATTAAAGAGAAGGTTGTTGAATTTTGCTTGCCCACAGCCATCAACTGTCCCTTGGCTATTACCTGAAATACATAGTAGTTGAGTTTCATTTTATGCTAAAGCTAGTGATAATTTCAACTGCAGCTACATGTATCATGATTTTAACTACACACACAAATTTATTTATTTATTTTAAATTTTGGTATGGGTGAGGTGTGTTTTTTTTTTTTAATATATATTTTATAGATTTTTTTTTTTTTTTACAGAGAGGAAGAGAGAGGGATAGAGAGCTAGAAACATCAATGAGAGAGAATCATCTATCAGCTGCCTCTTGCACACCCCCTACTGGGGATGTGCCCGCAACCAAGGTACCTGCCCTTGACCAGAATGGAACCTGAGACCTTTCAGTCCGCAGGCCGATGCTCTATCCACTGAGCCAAACTAATTTCTGCTACACACAAATTTTTTACTTAAACCAACTTCAAAGTCTATTTGAATGTCAGAAAGCCACCCTGACCAACACAGAGAGTATATGTAGGTTGGAAAATAGAAAAAGAATAGACAAAGCAACACTGGCTGAGCCAACAGTAGCAGTTTCACCAAGAGTCTATTTTTTGCATTATTTACAATAGCCAAGATCTGGAAGCAACCTACGTGCTCACTGGTAACAATGGATAAAGAGGATGTAGTGTATATATACTGGATATTAGCCACAAAAAAAAAGAAATCTTGCCATCTACGACAACATGAATGGTCTTAGAGGGCATTATGCTAACTGAAATAAGTCAGACAAAGAAACATACCACATGATTTCATGTATATGTGGAATCTAAAGAGCAAAACAAATAAACAAAATAAAAAGAAACAAACTCATAGATACAGAGAACAAACTGATGACTGCCAGATAGAAGGAGGATGGGGGATGGGCAAAAAGATGAAAGAGCATAAGAAGTACAAACTGCCAGGTATGAAAATAGTCATGGGGATATAAAGTACAACATAGAAAATATAGTCAATAATATTGTAATAACTATGCATGGTGTTAGATGAGTGCTAGGTTTGTCAGGGTGATCACTTCATAAGGCATATAAATGTCTAATCACTCTTTGTACACTTGAAACAAATATAATAGTATATGCCAACTATAATTTAAAATAAATAAATAATATTTTTAATTTTAAAAAGTCTATTTTTGAATGGAAGGAATACAGAGCATCTTTGGGAGACCTGGATTAGCAAAACTACAAGGCTGAGGATAACAATTTTACTTTCTTTTTTGTTTTTCTTATATTTTATAATTTTCTACAATGAAGATGAGGGACATATCTAATAGGGAAATTTAAATTTTAAAAGTTAAATTTAAAATGTAATGCAACATTTCATTACCCATTTTAAATTGGAAATGCAAATATAGGCAAGGAAAGAAGACGAGATATTGTGATTACAGTATAAAAAGGACAGGCTAAAAAGTGTGAGGCTGAATTTTAAAAATAAGTAAGTTTAGCCTGGCCATTGTAGATCAGTGGTTGAGCATCAACCTATGAACTAGAAGGTCAGAGTTTGATTCCCAGTCAGGACGCATGCCTGAGTTGTGGGGCGTGCAGGCGGCAGCTGATCAATGATTCTTTCTCAACATTGATGTTTCTATCTCTTGCTCCCCTTCTCCCTTCCTCTCTGAAATCAATAAAAATATATTTTTAATTAGTATGTTTAGTCTAGACATAAGGTAGACACGATTTAAGATGATTCCATAATAGATCACAAATTTAGATTCTATAACAGATTACCATGTAGCTGAACTCCTTCAATTGCTTGTTGCCTCTAACCACCAACTCAAAAGGTAATCCCACCTAGAAAAAAAACATCTCAATTAATATGTACATATTAATGTCATGAGTATAATTATATTGTACTTATCAAGTGATTGTAAGCATTACCTTTATATTTTCATCTCTTGTTTTTAGCTGGATGTATGTTTTACTAGGAGACTTAAATACACCGTTAACCAACAGGTAATTCTCACTATTTAAAAAAACGGCCTACAACAAAAGAAAAGGAAGCTATAAATTTTTATTTTTAGCAAAACCTTGAGAAAAAATGCACCCTGGTGAACAATTACTGAAAAGTAAATGTACTTTTACTTTTTTTTCATGCAGGAAAAATACATTCCCCAGACACTAGATATTTATCATTTCATAGCTTATACTATAAACAAAGTGATAGCTGTAAAACACAGAAGAGTATCTTCATCATCATGATCTAAGATAAATAAAAACATAGTCCTAACTTATTTCAGAAACAAAGATACATTATTGGAAAACACTGTGAGAAGGGAAAATGATATGAAAAAGGATTTCTTTCCTTCTCTCCACAAGACAGAGCTCATTTACAAGCAAGAAATCATATTTGGCTCCTGCCAAAACATAATTTCAAGTGATTGAGAATCAACCTAGACTGGGAGTTTGGGGATTCAACTTGCTATATTTTACTGTGCTTTTCAACATGAATGAATGAGGAAGCATTCAGTGTAACCTTGATTCACTGTCATTAAATTATTTTTACACTTTCTCCCATTTTTAGAAATAGTAACATACCCACTTCCTGTGCACTTTGACCTCCAGCAGATTGATTACAATTTTAATGATGTTACAGCGGTAACATAATGATGGAAAACAGATGGTACCTTTAATTGTAGCTTAGTGGAACTGGCCAGGATTGGGAATTCAATCTTAAAGATTCCATTCTCCGGGATGGAATAGTTTAGGATCTGGGAAACTTCTATTTCCTGATTTCTACTTTCCCATGTCCTCCCGTGCTCTGTAGAGTTTCTCTGTGTCACCATTATCGTTACATTATTCATTCTTTCTTCAAGACTCAGTTGCTTGTCATCAAAACGTGTTACCTTCACCTAATAATCAAAACAAAACAATTTAAAAAACAGGTTACAAGAGAAGTCAAGAAGCCTGGCTGGCATGGCTCAGTGGTTGAGCATCAACCTCTGAACCAGGTAATGGTTCTATTCCTGGTCAGGGTACATGCCCAGGTTACTGGCTCGGTCCCCGATAGGGGGCATGCAGGAGGCAGCTGGTCAATGATTCTCTCTCATCATTGATGTTTCTATCTCTCTCTCCCTCTCTCTTCCTCTCTGAAATCAATAAAAATGTATTTTAAAAAGAGAGAGAAAGAAGTCAAGGATTTAAGTTCAGTTGAACCCAGTTTCCATCAATACTATTCCTATAAGTTTAACTCTCAAAATTATTAGTGGCACCCTAACTTCCAGATTAAGTGGTCTCTCCCTCCGATGACCACTGATGACTCCCTTCTTAATATTATAGCTTCTCTTACCTTCAGCGTCTCCACACTATCTCCTTCACTTCATACCCCTCTTCCTCCATCCTCTCAGTGCCCTTCTTGGTGTCTTTTACTTCCCACTAAATATGGAGATTTGTCAAGACCAAATTATCAATGATCTGTTATTCTGTCTTCCTACTGCCATCCACACCTCACTCTAGAGCTCATGTTCAACACCTCTAATACCCTGCAGAATATTTCTACTTGTATATCCCTGTCATCTCAAATTCAACACATTTAAAACTGAGTAACCATCTCACCAGTCCTCTTTTTACTAACACCACAATTCTGCCAGACTTGTTTCTGAATTTTCCTTCCCTTCCCCCACCTCCCAAATCTAATATATACCAAGTCTTGTACTGTACTTCTCTCTTTCTCCTCTCCACTCCCATATCCACCACCACCATATCCACCACCAAAGGCTGCCATCCTCCTGTACAGGCCCTTGATCAGTCTCCCTGGAACACTGCTTCCATGCCAGGGTTCTTGTTCCAGCATTAAGAAGGGTTCAGCAATCTGGAGAAAGGCTGTGCATAGATTAAGTAAGAGTCCAGAGATAAAAGATAATTTTAAAAGGCATTGGGTTGGGGGGGGGGGAGGGGTCAGAGGAGCCTGGCTGAAGAAACCAGGTTCTCCTTGTCTCAGGACCCTTGCTTTTTATTAACACAATTTGTCCTAAGGCAAGGTAGAGATAATACACTTCAAAGGGTAGGGTTTCTGTACAGAAGCATTGTCAGATTGGGGAATAGCCTATAGCTGTTTAGGTGTTTGGCCAGTAGGAGGCAACAATATGTAGATTAAGATGCCCTGAGCTGTCTGGCAGCAAACAATCATCCTATTCAGATTTGGGAGAAATGCCTTTAGCCATTCCAACAGGTGATTACATATGTGACTCAGCCCTTGTTGAGTCCCCAAATTCCATCAACCTTTTGATGAAACTCTTGCAATTATGACATGCTAGAACTGACTTCCAGCACTTCTACTATACCTCTCCCACATTCATAGGCTCCTAGACTCTTCACTACCTGGAGCATGAAGTTCAAACACATATGTGAGCCATTTAGGATCCTCTACAATTCCTTAAGCTCTGCCTCCTGTTTTCTTCTTGACGATTCCCAGACACAAGTTCTCTGCTGCAACTGTGTAGTGAAGTTGTGTCTCAGCTCATCTTGCCCTCCAACTCCCAACCCCACACCCAAACATTGAAAATCCTTGTTTGATCTTTTAACAAACAGCTTAAAGTTTTCTCTTCCACAGAGCATCCCTTTAATGACCCTCCTCCATATCCCAAAGCCAACTCTTCCTCCCTGAGCTCTCATTGTTGAGATAGATAGATAGATAGATAGATAGATAGATAGATAGATAGATAGATATAATTTCAGAGAAGGGAGAGGGAGAGATAGAAACATCAACAATGAGAGATAATCATTAATTGGCTGCTTCCTGCATGCCCCCCACTGGAGATTGAGCTCGTAACCCAGGCATGTGCCCTAACCAGGAATCAAAACTGGAATCCTTCAGTCTGCATGCTGGACCCAACCCCGGCCAAAATCCCATGGACCCAGGCTCATACTGGTGGAGTTCAGAATGTAGAGAAAGGCATCCAGAGACTCAGAGACTGGGAGAATAGGGGAGCTGGGAGCCACAGCGGGCAGGGTCTACAGTTGTGTGCAAGTGAGTGCACGCAGAGAGGTCTGACCTCGGAGGTTACTGTGGTCTCTCCATAGCGGAAGGAGTCAGAAGCTCCAGACTACAGAGACTCAACTCAATTCCAGGTGAGCCCCTGGGGCACTCATGCTCTTGCACAGGGAATCTGGACGTTCAGGTGGAAACTCAGGGGAGCCGAGGAAGTCAGAAGTCAGTCAGAAACTCAGGCCAGCGCACATGGGTAGGGCTGACGGGAGGCCAAGGCTGTCAGCTCAGCCCTGAGACTCCACCCCATCCAAGCTGAGCATAGAGGCTTTTGCAATTTTGCAAGTCTGATCCTCTAAGACTAGGCGTGTCGAACTCAATCAGAGAAGGGGCCAAAATCTAAAATCCAGCCTAAATCGCGGGCCGAATGGTTTACTGAACAGTCATAAACTGTCATTGTGATGGAAACGCAGCGGAGTGCAGTGATGACAGCGCGGTGCGGGCCACATTGCAAGGCCTGGCGGGACGGATTTGGCCCACGGGCCTTGTGTTTGACACATGTGCTCTAAGACTGTCTCATACAGAAGGTATCCCAGAGTAGACACAGCTGATACTCACATCCAATTGGCCTGAAGGTTAATTCTTCCCAGGGATACCAACAACAATCAAGACTTAACTACAACAAGGCTGTACACGTAGTCCACAAAGGGGAGCACCAAGGGTATCTACCTCAGGTAAGTAGGGAGGCTGACCCACTGGGCCATATAGGACACCAAACACACAAAGAGATCCTACCAACTCTGGGAAGCAGTGAAAATGCCAAGACAATAAAATAGATCTCAAACAAAAGAGATGGAGAACAAAAGGCTGGATATAGAGTTCAAAACCATGGTTATAGGTTTTTCAAGAATCTACTAGAAAAGGCCGATAAATTTAATGATACCCAACTATAAATTAAACATAAACTGACTGAAATAAAAAATATTATACAGAGATCCAACAGCAGACTGGAGGAACACAAGAATCAAGTCAAAGATTTGGAATACAAAGAGCCAAAAGACACTCCTTTGGAGAAGCAAGAAGAAAAGAGAATCCAGAAAGTTGAAGATAGTGTAAGGAGCCTCTGGGACAACTTCAAGCATACCAACATCAGAATTATGGGAGTGCCAGAAGAGAGAGTGCAAGATACTGAAAACCTATTTGAAGAAATAATGTCAGAAAACTTCCCCTACCTGGTGAAAGAAATAGACTTACAAGTGCAGGAAGCACACAGAACCCCAAACAAGAGAAATCCAAAGAGGATCACATCAAGACAAATAATAATTAAAATGCCAAGGGCAAAAGACAAAAAGAGGATCTTGCCAAAACCAGTTTGGCTCAGTGGATAGAGCGTCAGCCTGAAGACTGAAAGGTCCCAGGTTTGATTCCAGTCAAGGGCGTGTATGTTGGTTGCAGGCACATCCCTGGCAGGGGGTGTGCAGGAGGCAACTGGTCGATGTTCCTCTCTCATCGATGTTTCTGGCTCTCTATCCCTCTTCCTTCCTCTCTGTGAAAATCAATAAAATATATTTTTTTAAAATTAAAAAGAAAAAAGAGGATCTTACAAGCAGAAAGAGAAAAGCAGTTGATTACTTATAAGGGAGCACCCATACGACTATCAGCTGATTTCTCAACAGAAACTATGCAGGCCAGAAGGGGGTGGCAAGAAATATTCAAAGTGATGAATAGTGAGAACCTACAACCAAGATTACTGTATTTAGCAAAGTTATTCAGAATTGAAGAGCAGATAAAGAGCTTCACAAATAAAGAAAAGCTAAAGGAGTTCATCACCACCAAACCAGTAATATATGAAATGCTGAAAGGTATTCTTGAAGAAGAGGAGAAGGAGGAGGAGGAGGAGGAGGAGGAGGAGGAGGAGGAGGAAGAGGAGGAGGAGGAGGAAGAAGAAGAAGAAGAAGAAGAAGAAGAAGAAGAAGAAGAAGAAGAAGAAGGAGAAGAAGAAGAAGAAGAAGAAGAGGAAGAAGAATTAGGAGGAGGAGGAGGAGGAGGAAGAAGGAGGAGAGGAGGAGGAGGAGGAGGAGGAGGAGGAGGAGGAGGAGAAAAAGAAGAAGAAGAAGAAGAAGAAGAAGAAGAAGAAGAAGAAGAAGAAGAAGAAGAAAGATAAAAATTATGATCAACAAATACATATATATCAACAAGTGAATCTAAAAATCAAGTGAATTAAAAATCTGAGGGACAGAATAAACTGAATATAATAGAATCAGGGGCAAAGAAAGGGAGTGGATTGATAACTAACAGGGGGGAAAAGGTGTGGGGGTGCAGGAAGAGACTGGATTAAAATTGTACACCTATGGATGAGGACAATGGTGGGGGGGAGGTAAGGGCAGAGGGTGGGGCAGAAACTGGGTGAAAGGGAGCTATGGGGGTGAGGGGAAGAGAAACAATTATAATAATCTGAGCAATAAAGGTTTATTTTAAAAAAATAAAATAAAAATAAATAAAAATCTAATTAAAATTGAATAACTTTGATCAGCATCTAATTTCCCCAATGACTTTATAAAGACTTCATTATAACAACCCAAATCTAACTTAAATTGGTTATTAAATAAATTTTGAAAAATTACCTTTGTTGGAAACTACCTTTTTAGAAAAATTAGACAAAGGTCATTTGGAAACAATTCTATATATTTCATGAGCTTAAGTTTTCTTGAAAAGCTCTGGAAAAAATATTATTTTGCATTTTGTTTCATTAAGTTGAACTTAATGCTTTCAGGTCACTGATAAAATATTCCAACTTACAGTGGCTGTGTAGTTGAGAGATGGCTTCAAGATAGTAGCATAACCAAAGAAATCAATGTTGTACTCATGCTGCTTGAAAAATACATGGGAGCTTGCATTTCTTGAGATACCTGTTTTGGAAATGGCATCATTTAGAAAGCAAATGTTATAGGTCACCAACAGCTTCTAGCCACCCAACTTCCCCATCTGAGCTAATTCTCCAAGGGGTTAAGATATCAGGGCACAGAAACCTCATTCCCACATCGGCTTCTGTGGCTATTCTGTCCTCTGTGGGTCCCATCTAAGCACCATTACTGCCACCTCTCCAGATTAAGGCCACTGACAGAGTAGTTTTTGCTCTTTTGGGGGATTGGTGAAAGCTGTTGAAATAGCAACAGAAAAATCCAAGTAATTAACCTTTATTTAATTACTAAGAGAAAACTCTCTGGGAGCACCTGTGATTTCAGACGATATTAAGTGATTTAAGAAAAAAAAAAGAAAAGAAAAGAAAAGATGGTCAGCTAAAAAGGTATGCCTTTCCATGTAGTTCTCACGCTGAAAATAAAGAACAGAAATGGAAACAATTACAACTATCTATTACATGTGGTTGAAGTACAGACTTTTATAGGAAATAAATTCCCCTTCATGGTGAAAACATTCTGCACACTGAACTAATGAACAGTTGTGACAATTTCAGCATTAAACAGCATCTTTAGAAAGGCAGTGATGTTCCCAAACAAGCATGCTAGTTATAAGATGACAGAGCAGCCATGGCCAGCATAGCTCTCTCACTTCTCTCTCTCTCTCTTTCTCGTCGCTCGCTCTCGAGCTCGGCTCTCTCTCTGCCTCTATCCCCTCTAGGCTCTCTCGAGACTTCTAGACCCCCTCTCTCAAGGTCCTCTGATTCTCTCCTCCCTTCGCTCGCCCCTCTCCTCCTCCTCCTCTCCTCTCCTCCTCTCGACCTCCCTCCTCTCCCGCTCCTCTCTCCTCTCCTCTCCTCTCCTCTCCTCTCCTCTCCTCTCCTCTCCTCTCCTCTCCTCTCCTCTCCTCTCTCTTTCCTCTCTCTCCTCTCTCTCCTCTCTCCCCCTCCCCCTTCCTTTCCACTCTCTAAAATCAATGAGAGAAATATCCTCCATCGAGAATTAACAAAACAAAACAAAAATTAAGAAAGATGACAGAGTAGCACCGCATAAATAACATTACCTTCATTTCAGAGTCTACAAACCTGTAAGTGATTCTGTCACCGTGGCTACAATTGATACCGGCCCAGGGGGTGGCAAAGATTTGTGTTCAGAAAGCCCATCTGAAAAATCCATTACCTTTTTAATCTCTTCATCATTAAAAGAGAAGTTTGCAGATCCACTTATCTGTTTTGTTAAAAATATATATTCAGTTTTATTGTTCACTTTAGCAATCCATATTTTAGAAATAAAACTCAAACTAAATCACATCAAACAATGTGATGGCTCTGATTTGACTCTAATCACTCTAAAGGGGTAAATTCTCACTTATCCTATGTCAGAAAGCTCTTTTTTCTTACACTCAATTATTTTGTTAATTCGGTGCAAATCTAATTTCTAGAAGAAAAAAAAAAGCTCATAGTTATCCCCATTACTAGTTATAAGACATCTGTAAAAGTTACCTCAAATGTTTTTGTAATGTTTTTCTTCGTGCCCCAAAAAGATAAAGGTGAAAATGTAAGTGTTAGGTTTCCTTTCACAGGCTTCCCATATGTATACCTGAAAAATAATAAATGGGTGGAGGGGTTTTACATTTCCAATTTGATATTATCAAACTAACAAGTAAAAATATTACTTTCAATAGCATATACTGGCAACCCAACTTAAAAGAATTATATTAAAATATACTCTTACGCCGGGACCGGTTTGGCTCAGTGGATAGAGCGTCGGCCTGAGGACTGAAAGGTCCCGGGTTCAATTCCGGTCAAGAGCATGTACCTTGGTTGCGGGCACATCCCCAGTAGGGGGTGTGCAAGAGGCAGCTGATCAATAATTCTCTATCATCGATGTTTCTAACTCTCTATCTCTCTCTCTTCCTCTCTGTGAAAAATCAATAAAATATATATTTAAAAAAATAAAATAAAATAAAATATACTCTTACTACAAATTTTCAAAACTAAGCATAGCTAAGAAGTGTCCTTAATAAATAGCGATCCTTGAAATTAAGTCTCCAACATAGGAAGACTTTTAACTACACCACCGCCCAGCAGTTCCCAGAACACACTTTACCCAGACTCTAATCAGCTCAATGATTAGAGATAATACATAAGTGGAAGTAACAATTTTCTGCTCAAAGATTTTTAAAAGATTATGAAACTTTTTCTTAATCAGAAATCTGGACTGACTGGCCCATTAACCAAATGCATGCCTAGGAGACATCGCGTACACCAAAAAAACAATTGGATTTCAAACCCCACTCTCTACCCTAATTCTGTGATAAGACCAAACTCATCACCCATACAACTCAATTTGGTTCATTCCAAATAGCAGGCTTTTGATTGGGTATAAAGCTCTCTGCTGTGCTACATAGAGCTTGGAACTGAAACTTTATGAACTCCATTGATTATGCACTTGATCTTTCAATAGTATTTATTAGATACCTACTCCAAGACTAGCACTGAACTGGGGCACCAACATCCCATGACTTTAATATGTTCGTTGAAACTGCAATCACCATGGTTCATCGCTGCATGCTTCAATATTAATCTGGAGGACTTATTAGACCAAACATGCTAGAGCACTGAATGGTCTCATGGCTCTCAAAGATTTTTTTCTTCAGGAAATTTTAAAATAAGAGTACAGTGGGGGTTTTTTAATGCAAAACTAACTTCTTGAATTAAACCTCATTTCTGCTGCTTGCATTCTATGTATTAACTTTATCCCCTCTCATGATGAGAAAGTCACTTGTGTGAAGAAAAGGCAATCTTTAGTAAACCATTTTATTGCCAGAGAACCTTTTTTAAATGTGTTTCCTGGGTTCCATCCATGTCTATGTGAAATGTTGAGCCAAACTTGGATGTCAATTTTGGTCTGCACTATATAAATCAAACAGCAGCTCCTGCTTCCTGAATCCATTAGTTAAACACAGAAACTGTCTAAATCAACTCAACTCAAACGTCAATGGTAAAATGTAGCAACTTCAAATTTAAGAATAAAATAAATCAGTCTTCAAATGATAACAGTAAAGTTAGTGGAAACCTTGGTTAGCAATTTCAGTATCAATTTCATTCATTCAAAAGAGAGTTCTCAAAACCTAATCTTGCTGTATTTTATTAAAGTTTAAATAAATGCATATCTATATTATGAGAACATTGTATTTTAAAAGAATTATACCACATAAGTAGTACAGGGAACTTTAAAATCCAGACATAATTTAAAGTATTCTCAGACACGAATATTTTTTTATTTTGATTTAAATGTGAAGCAGATTTAACTTTCCAATCTCCAAGCTAATTATAATAATTGTAAAACAAGGATACTGGCAGTTATTGTCCTAATAGAATCTGGAAGCATTTGGCATACATTAATTTTTCAGAAAGTAGTAGTTTGACAACATTTTAAAAAGCAAATCAAATATATTCTTTTTTTGGAAAATAGTCATAGCACAAAAGGTTTACAAAATGATACCTAAAAATTTGAAACTTTTAGTATAATCTGTGTTTATCCCCATCCTTTTTTTTATGTCATTTCTAGGATACAAATAAACAAATTCTTCAAAAAATAAATGCATTTTAATAAACCTTAGGTTAAATAATATTTTTTAATTTCTACTATCTGCAGGAGTTATGAAAGTAACTATTGATAGATGTATGCTATGTCATTTTCTTCATAATTCTCTGGAACCCACTGTGGTTAGTGTAAAAGAATCTATTATTTATTTTAATAAGGTGGGAATACTGAGCAAATGTTCAAGTTAAAAATTTCAAAACTAGCCCTAGCCAGTTTAGCTCAGTGGATGGAGCGTTGGCCTGGGAACCGAAGGGTCCCAGGTTCCATTCGGGTCAAGGGTATGTACCTTGGTTGTGGGCACATCCCAAGTGGGGGGGTGGGGGTGTAGGAAGCAGCTGATTGATGTTTCTCTCTCATCAATGTTTCTGAGTCTCTATCCCTTTCTCTCTATCTTTGTAAAAATCAATAATATATATATATATATATATATATATATATATATATATATACATACACATATAGTATTTCAAAACTAAAAAGAGATTGTTAACCTTCTTTGGGTAATGTGAAATGTTTTGCACATTAACTATGCCTAGATGAGACAGATGGCTACTAGCAAAAAAGCAACCTAAACCTGGCTAATATGGCTCAGTGGACTAAGTGTTGTCCCATAGACCAAGAGGTTCTGGATTCAATTCATGGTCAGGGAACATGCCCAGTTTTTGGACTTAATTCCCCAGTAGGAGACATGAAGGAGGCAGTTGATCGATGTGTCTCTCTCATTGATGTTTCTATCTCTCTCCATCTCCTTTCCTCTCTATCTAAAAATCAATAAAAACATTTTTAAAAGGTAACCTAAATTGTTTATCATTTACTCATAGAGACAAATATAACAACTATTATGAAACATTTTTAAATCATCTAATAATAACTATCCAAGTGGTAAGATAACAGAATTCATCTTTCACCAAAATACACCCAAAAAGCAACTGGATTTCAAACCCCACTCTTTACCCCCTAATTTTGTGATAAGACCAAACCCATCACCTATACAACTCATTTTGGTTCATTCCAAATAGCAGGCTTTTGATTGGGTATGAAGCTCTCTGCTGTGCTACACAGAGCTTGGAACTGGAACCTTATGGACTGCATTGTTTATGCACTTGTTCTTTCAATAGTATTTATTGTATTAGACAGCTACTCCATGATCAGCACTGTACTGGGCACCCACATGCCGTGATAAGCAAGAAACACACCCAACACCTTCAAAGAGGTGGACTAGCAAACAGCCGTACTGTGTGACTAGAGCTATGACAGGTATAAAGATAGAGGGTTAGGGGAAGTGGCCAAGCCTTGAAACAGCCTATGTAAAGGCCTACAAAATAAATAGAGAGGACAACAATGTCAGATCTACAAAGAGGGAAAAGGTAAAAGGAGTTTCAATAGCATGACTCAGGGCATTGAAAAGCAGATTGTAAGGGGCTGAAGAATGACTGGAATGTAAAGAAGTGACAAATGCAACTCTAAGTAGGCTGGGAAGAGAGGGTGGTTTTTGGGAAGGAGACAAGAGATTCAAGGGAAGGCTTGTTTCTTTTAATGATAGATATGTTTAAATACACAGTGAAGATGCTGCTAAAGAACAAAATAGAAGAAATCAAGACACGGGTAAAAGAGGAAGTGGGATTGGGAGCCTCTGATAGGGGGCAGCATCCAAGGCCTAAATGGAGGGACACAGAAAAGAATCTCCTCTGAAGGGAGAACAGATGTTGCTTTCATTATAACAGACACAAGATCATCATCTTCATCATCATTTCAATCTCTTCTAGGACACAGTATTTATAGAATAGGTCTATGCCAATTTTTTAAAAATATATTTTCATTGATTTCGGAGAGGAAGGGAGAGGAAGAGAGGGCAATGTCAATGATGAAAATCATTGATTGACTGCCTCCTACACCTCTCACAGGGTACCGAGCCCTAAATCCAGGCATGTGCCCTGACTGGGAATCGAACCATGACCTCCTGGTTCATAGGTTGATGCTCAACCACTGAGTCTATGCCAATTTCAATAGACTTAAAGAAGACACTACTGGTCAGAAGGTTGCATTAGCCTATTGCAAAGTTGTAAATTATATCCTGTCTGATTGAAAGCAAACCTTCCTGAAACTGCATTGGTAGGCCTGAAACTCATGGCAGCTGGAACAGGGGAGAAGTTTATTTCTATGAGAAAAGGGACCTGGGCCTTCGGATGAGGACACAGAAGATCACACTGCCCTGGGACAGAACTACCTTCCTTTGCCATAACCACAGACATCATCTCTAGGCAACTGAAGCTTGAAGAAAGGAGACTTGGAATGGGTTATTATCAGAACTAGCCAGATCTGAGGCCTTCCAATGGCAAAAAGAGGCTCACTATCTACGACAGACAAAGCAAACATACTGAAAAGGTCTTGATGTGTGAACTTCACTAGTCTAGAATGCCGAGTGGCATTCAAACATTAATCTACATGTTGAGATGAAGTTATTTTATACTTGTGATTAAATTCCATAACCGGCTGGCTTTAAGGAGATTATCCTAGATCATCTGATGTACCTGACTCAATCAGTTGGAAGGCCTTACAAGCAGACCTTAGACTTCCCTAAAGAGGAAGAAATTCTTCCTGTGGACAACTTTAGCCTATGCCTGAGATTTCCAGCCTATCCCTCCTGACAGCCTCCTCTACAGATTTTGAATGTGCCTAGCCAGCCCTCACATTCACATACGTAAGCTAATTCCTTGCAACAAATCTTACTATGTTTCCCCTACTCATTCTACGTCTATGATAGAACCTTGACTGCTAGACACAGTAAGGAAAATGATGAAAATACAATGTGGTGAATATTAAAGGAATGCCAGAGAACCATCACAATTACTATGTCACTCTCAGCCATTCGTATTTCAAAGAGGCTCAATAAATGAGAATCAGGATGAAATGACAAGGTTTCTTACTGGGCTAGGAGAAAGGAGGGTGTGGCTTCAGGAGTCTACATCCCCTAAAATTGTATATAAAATTTTCTGAAGTTACCAAAGTTAAGAGCCACTGTTTTAACTAATTGTATTAAATCCCTGGCAAAACACTGAAAAGCAAAAGCAAAGATTACATATACTCACCCTCAACTTAACCTATGCAAACACTGATGGGCTGTGTGAATTTGCACTTACTAGGTTTTATAAGCATTAGTCAAAGAACTCAAATTAAACCCAGACAGAGGCTTAACCTTCAGCCAAGATCAAGGGCAAGATAATAATGATGTAAAATGCAAGCACTAATATGTTTTCTAAGCCATAAAATCCATCCACAATACCCAAGTTCGCTTTGGAAGCCACTTCTTAGTTGAACATGGGCAGAAAACCAACTTGGTGTATAAATCGGAGACATGTTTTTGCCATTGTGTTGCATAAACTTCAGGTGATTTGGGCCAGATAGAATCTCCTTAGAAAGTTTTGGCCTGTGGACTGCTTCTGCCAAGAGACTCAGGGCCCCTCACTTGCCAGTGACACAAACCCTTACGAAGAGAGGAACATGGCACTAAGATAGCAGTGAGATGAGCTCCAGTTTTTATCAGCTACTGTAAATAAATTCTGAAACTAAATAAATTTCAAGGAAAAAAGCACAGATATTGATGAAACAAAAATAAAAGCTACATTATGTACACATATAACACCTTAATTTAAAAAATGGAAAAAAAATAAATAAAAGCTACAAGAGATCAGTCCTAGAGTTACTTGAGGGCAAACCCCGGCTACACTTTTGAGAACCACTAAACTGAGCCTATATTTTTTTTAATATTAAGTCTGGATATGTCAGGTTCTTTTTTTCTCTTTTTTTTCTTTTGTTAAATGTATTGAAATGACATTAGTTAATAAAATTATATAGGTTTCAAGTATACAATCTATAATACATCATCTGTATACATCATTGTGTGGTTACCATACAAAGTCAAATCTTTGTTGATTACCACTCAATTTTCTCTACCCTTCACTACCTCCCCTTTTCCTTTGGTAACCACCATACTGAGTCTTGAGTTTGAGTAATTCTAGTCTGGAACTTTGAGGATGCTTCTTGTCTCAGCAAAGCCAAATGCTTTGCTGTTCAATCCAATAAATCAAAATCACAGAAGTCTCTGTGTACCTATGCTGAAATGAATAATGAGTGTGAATTATTTATTCATATGCTAATTGCAATCAGACAACCAAATTCTTCCCCCAAGAGTCAACCTCCATCCTTAACAGAGAAAAAAATTAGGATTTAAGAAGAGGTAAATCGGCTCCATCCATGCCTTAAGAATGAGGAATAACGGTACTTAAAAAAAAAAAATCTTGCATAATCTATAATGTAAATCCCTTGATTAATCTTGGAAAAACACTAGTGTGTGGAAAATATTTCAGGACCAACTTGGACACAGAGAGATGCAAAGATCTGTACAGACGTGTTCTATGCTTAATTGTTTATTGTAGATATTTGTCTCCTGCCCTTTGAGATATCTTTTGTTTTTTGTTTTTAATATATATTTTTATTGATTTCAGAGAGGAAAGAGGAGAGGGAGAGAGATATATAAACATCAGTAATGACAGAGAATCATTGATTGGCTGCCTATTGCATGCCTTCCACTGGGGATCAAGCCTGCAACCTGGAACCAGAATCGAACCTGGAACCCTTTAGTCGCCCAGCTAATGCTCTATCCACTGAGCAAAACTGGCTAGGGCCCATTGAGGTATCTTAATAAGTAGAACATTGTGCTACTATTCTGTGGTATATGATGAGTTCTCTGTCATACAGTTTTATAAGTTTATAGTCATGAAAACGGATACTCACTTTGCTGTGACAGCACCATTTAAACTCTTAGAATTCACACGATAATATAATGGTGTCTGCAGAGCAACTTCCCACTTTGGTAATACTGGGGGAGGAAAGAGTAAATATTTTAAAGAATCTATTTTACTATCATTTACAGCTTGACAAAAATCACAAACAATTGCTCTAAAGGAGTTTATAATTGGTACTATTTGAAATTAGATTATGATCCAAATGAATGCACATTAAGGCTTAGATGAAAAGCACTTTACCCAAAGTCAGAAATCCAATGAAGCTAGTGACTAGACAGTGACAGTGGGGGCCAGTGGAAACTTCCGCTGGTGGAACCTAAACTGTATTTAAAACACTAAATGGGAATGCATCTGAGTGCTATAAGACCAGCTGTCACCCATTAGTGTGCCTATAAAACACTTCCATATTGTTTGGTAAACAGCTGCTTCTAGAGCAGCCCCTTTCCTCATATCTTTTAGCAATTTGGCTACTAAAAGCACATCCTGGGGCCCCAAGTCTCTCCTTCTTCTGGATGATTCCACATATGCAGTCATAGATGCCTTGTCTTTTGAGACAAAGGCAAATCTGGTGACAGTCTAATGTAACCAAAGACAAAGTTGTGTAGTAGAATTTCTAGTTAAAAGGTAAGATATGGCTACAAAATTTTTTTTTCTTGTCACAGGTACTGATAGGTAATTCCAAAATTAGAAACCTCTACTTTAGTCAGCTTTATATAATTAAGATATAATATGTTTTACCACTATTAATACTATCTGATATAAAGAAATCCCCCAGAATATACAATTTTTGTTTTCTTTCAGTTTACAGAAATATTTTTTTTCTCTAACTTCACTGACCAAAGAAGTAGATTAATCTCATAAAAAGATCCTTGGTGTGCCAACACACTCCTGGACTCAAGACCAATCTAGGATTGGAGAGTCAAAAAGCCATATTGTCACCTGTGACCTTCCTCCAAGGCTCTCCACCAACAAAGAAGTTAGGGGACACTCAGAGGTAGTTTCCTTAGAACAAGGAAATTCAAATATCTCCTCTTCAAATATCATAGGCAATTAATTCCCCACCTCCACTAGACCCCACTTAGCAACATACCACAACCCAGCACCACCTCTATATATGTGAAGTGAAAATAGCCTATAAAAACCCTGGCCACCCAGACTCATTCTTCTAGATCAAGGCTGTCAAAAAGAAATAAAATATGAGCCATACAGTGTAATTTTACATTTCTAGTAGCCACATTTAAAAAGGAAAAAAAAGTGAAATTAATTTTTGCAATTTTTTAACCCCACATATTCAAAATATAATCAGTATAAAAATGTATTATTCATGAATTATTTTTCTTTTTTCTTTGTGTACTGTCTTCAAAAATCTTGTGTTTTACACACCTGGAGCACATCTCCATTTGGACAGGTCACATTTCAAGTGTTCAACAGCCACACCTGGTGAGTGACCCCCAAATTGGACAACAGAATTCCAGGTCAGGGGTCAGTAAATAATGACCAGCAGAAAATAAGAATGTTTCTTACATTTTTAACTGTTTGTGGAAAAATCAAAAGCAGAATATTTCATGATGTAAAAATTACTAAAATTCATATTTCTATGTCCACAAACAAAATATTATTGGATCATAGTCACATCCGCCTTACATAGTTTTTGTGGCAGAGTTGAGTGGTTAGAACAGAGACATATGGCCCATAGAGCCTAAAATATTACTATCTGGCCCTTTATAAAAATTATTTGCTATTCCCAGTTCTAGTTGATCATGAGACTTATGTGGCATGAGCTACAATAAGGCTGAACCACAAAAGTATAAGCAAACTATCTCCAGAATTTCTAAAGCTGAATGAAACACAATCTCAAAAAAGTGACACAAATCATATAAAAAAGTTTGTGTATAATCTCAAAAAAGCTATTAAAATTAAAAATAATACTAGATCCTATGTGTTCACTCTCGTCTCTCCTTTCTCTTCCTCCACCAACAAAATGCTTGGCTCACACTATTTTTATCTATGTGTGTCTAAGTGCAACATTCACAAATTTTTAAATATGTATATTATGATCAAGACAAAGTAGAAAAAAATAATTGTGCATAAAAGAAATAGTCTAGCATAATGGAACTATAGGTGATCTTTTTCCTCCTTTATTTTTCATTATGACCTTTAATACCTTTCACTTTTACAAAGGAAAAAATGATTAGATCTACAAGAAACATCAGGATTTTACCTCCCCTGGGATTTTTAATTTAAATTACACATTTTTTGGAAATTTCCCTTATTTCTGTGGAAAGTAATAAATGTGTTTTCCTTCCAAATAAATTGAAAAACTCTTACCATATTCTGCAACTTGGAATAACAGATGATATGACTGCTTCTATTGGGAGGAAGAAAAAAAAGAAAATATATGAGTTCTTATTTGATTATTTTGCTTGCTTACCTCGTAAAAAGATTTTGGGAGAATTTAATGCATTTATAATTATTTAATGAAGAAAACAGTTTATTTTCATTTGCAGAAGTTTATTTTTAGTCATCTACATATGAAGTCTGTGAGATTTTATGAGTTTTTCTTGCCAATTCACTAACATAAAAAAATGACGTGACTCTATAATTCACTGTAGATCATTTAAACAAACTTCTTCATCTGACTTCCCTCATTTGTGAAATGAGGCAAGGACAATATGCCAAACTAACAGGAAAGGACTTCAAATTGGCTTTGGAAATCACTATCAAAAAATGGAGAAAAGTAAGTTATACATAATTCAAGTACTTATAAATAATCAAGGATACAAAATCATCATGGACCAACATCTTCTACTTTCCCAATTACTGGGATTATTTTCTAGTGTATCCCTTACATCAATACATTCTACCTTATTTTAATAGATATTGTTAATTATTTTCTTTTCTACAAAAGAAAAAATGTGGCCTTTTTTCTAACTCCTCCTATTTCTGTCTGTCCATTCTAAATCATATAACACATTAAATAGAACTACTTCAAAATAGTTAAGTAATTTCATGAATAAAATCAGTATTATAATTCTGATTCCCTAAGTTTATCAAATAAAATACACAGGTGCAGCTATAAAAAAAAATTAGCTTTTTCAAACATCATCCTTGGTTCATCTAAAACAACTGTACAAGTTTTTTAATCCTAAAAGAAGGATATAGTTCATTTCAAAGTATAAAACAAATGTAACATATGCTAACAAAATAGTTGTCTATAAACATTCAGTCTAAAAACATGTTCAAGACTTCTTCCTTGTTTTCTTAATGGTTCTCTCTTTCTGATCCTGAAATGCTGGCCCTTCCCATCCTAAGCCCAATGTTCTTCCCACTCTCCAGCTCCTTAATGAGCTCATCAACTGTTAAGGTTTTAACTGCCATCTCTATATGTCCCTACATAGCCATGGCTTGCCCAGTCCTCAAGCCAAAGATTCTCACTCAACTCTCCCTCCTAGACATCCCCACCTGAGCGGCCTACAGAATGTCCTGGACTTCTCTATCTGGATTTAGCCTCCACTGGGCACCCTTCCTTGATTGCCTCTTCCCATGTTGTTAGATGGACCTTCTCTCCCATAATATCATCTTACTTAACACAATATATTATCTTTATCGGCTCTGTGTCCATCTCCTATAATACAATACGAAGCCATTAAGAGCACAGCACCCAATTCAGCATGCCTTCGATGTCTGTTGGATTGAATGCATGTGTATATAAATGAACAAACTGGGTTCCTGTCCCCAAACTGGTTCTTAAAGCGTTCATCAGATTAGCCTCAGTTAGTATACAGTATCCCCGTGTGCAGTATTCCCTGCAAGAAATTAAAATAACCTTATCATGAGCAGAGTCAGACTACCCTGAAGAGGCACGGCCATCTGTCAAATGACCCACAGAATAACCTCAACTCTCTGCCCTGCATTTGGAAGGAATAAGGATGCCAAGGAGTGAGAGAAGCCAACCACATGGAAAACTGAAGAAAAGGCAGAAGGAACATGCTTCTTTTCAATGTCATTTTTAATTGTTCCAATAAATCCAAAAAAAATCATTTTGTAACTGAGTGCTGACAGTGTGCTTTGTCCCAGGCAAGGTTTTCCCAGGCTGTTTATAAGTGGTGAAATGCAATTCAAAAAATAAATTATTTGGCTGTCCAAGGGGCTTGAGAAGCAGAACTGGATTTTGTAATTTTCAACATATTGTCCATTAGGCAACCAGGCCATACCAATTTTCATGAGTTTAGTTACTTTTATTTTTTTAAAGAAATATTTTATTAATTTTTTACAGAGAGGAAGGGAGAGGAATAGAAAGTCATAAACATCGATGAGAGAGAAACATCGGTCAGCTGCCTCCTGCACACCCCCTACTCGGGATGTGCCCACAGCCGAGGTACATGCCCTTGACCAGAATCGAACCTGGGATCCTTGAGTCCACAGGCCGAAGCTCTATCCACTGAGCAAAACAGGTTTCGGTGAGTTTAGTTACTTTTATAAAATATTTTTACAAAACATATAATCAAGAATGGTAGAAAGTACTAAACTATTTAAATTAATAACAATTATAAATGTATGCCATTTATAACCACAAAAACCCTGATAGTGAGAACTTTCATTAGTCCAGAACAGGGATTTGCCAACTTTTTCTATAAAGGACCAGACAGTAAATATTTCAGGCTTTGCAAGTGAAGGGGTTCAGAACAGCCCTCCCAGAGGTGTGCCACTTTGGCATGAGAATTATTTTGAGCTAAAGGCAACCAAGACCCTGTGAGCTCGTGAGAAACTTTTTTTTTTTAATATATTTTATTTATTCTTTACAGAGAGGAAGGGAGAGAGATAGAGAGTTAGAAACATAGATGAGAGAGAGTCATCAATCAGCTGCCTCTTGTACACCCCCTACTGGGAATGTGCCCGCAACCAAGGTACATGCCCTTGACCGGAATCAAACCCAGGACCCCTCAGTCCACAGGCTGATGCTCTATCCACTGAGCCAAACCGGTTTCGGCTCGTGAGAAACTTTTACCTCTCCCTTAAAGAATTTAAATTTGGGGCCTTGCCCATAATAAGAGTTATTACATGAAATAAATTTCTATGATCTATCCATAGGGCAGGGTAAACTTCTAGTTACTGAACATTGGCTCTTCTTAGCATCCAGCAAATGACCTTCCTCCCCTCTGTTGCTCCAAAATGCTTTACCTCTTAGCTCAGAGGTCACAGACACCTCATTTTAACTTTCTGTGTCTGGAACTCTTACGTGTGTGGGGTTCCCATAGGTACATATGTAATTCAGTTTTATTATTTTTTCTTGTTAATCTTCCTCATATCAATTTGGTTATTAGACCAACTGGAAGAACTTAGAAGTGTAGAAGGAAGTTCTTCCTCCCCACATAAGCTATATGGTTGCTGTTGCTACTACTGTTCTCTGCCATTGGAGTGCAAAACCCAGAGACAATGGGTACACAAATGAGACTGTCTGTATTCCAATAAAAGTTTATTTACAAAAAAAAGGGGGGGGGCGAAACCAGTTTGGCTCAGTGGATAAAGCGTCAGCCTGTGGACTGAGAGGTCCCGGGTTTGATTCCAGTCAAGGGCATGTACCTTAGTTGCGGGCACATCCCCAGTGGGGGGTGTGCAAGAGGCAGCTGATTGATGATTCACTCTCATCGATGTTTCTAACTCTCTATCCCTCTCCTTCCTCTCTGTGAAAAATCAATAAAATATATTTTAAAAAGAAAAAGAAAAAAAAAAGGTACTAGGCTGAATTTGGCCTATAGCCAGGATCAGCAAACTCTGACCTAAAAAGTAAAATTTAGTCCAGACAGCAAGGCTCAGTGGTTGAGCATCAACCTATGAACCAAGAGGGCACATGCCCAGGTTGCGGGCTCAATCCCTGAGAGGATCGAGGGAAGGTGGTCGTGCAGGAGGCAGTCGATCAATGATTCTCTCTCCTCATTGATGTTTCTCTCTCTCCCCCTCCCTTCCTCTCTGAAATCAATTTAGAAAAATATATATTTTTTTAGAAAAGTAAAATTTGTCTCTAAATTGCTCTATGTCAATTCTAACTGAACTAAATTAAATTTGACTAACCGTGACTAAAAACATGCAGCAAAACCAACCCGAGGCCTTTAGAAGGAAGTGTGAGTTTCACTTACTGAACAATTTCCCTTCAGCTTTAAAGAAACAATCTGCTTCAAAATGAGTTTTATGTTTACTCTAGCTCATCAACTCCAGCTTGTGCTCATTCACTCTGCCAACAGCTGGAGAGAGAGGCTGACCTGAAGGCATAAATACTTGGGCAGCGTGTCTTTTAAGCAAACACCTTTCCAGGAGAGAGAATATGTAACTCATCAATGTCTTCTGAGTTCTTTCCCCAATATGGTCACTGCTCCATGGGGAAAGCTCTCCCTTAGAAAACCAGCTCTTGGAACAGACTGAGGGTTGCCAGATGGGAGGGGGTTTGGGAGCAGGGTGAAAAGGTAAAGGGACTGAAAAGTACAGACTTAGTTACAAAATAGTTATGGGGATATAAAGGACAGCATGGGGAATACAGACAATAATACTGTAATAACTATGTATGATGCCAGGTGGGTCCTAGAATTATCGGGCAGGGGAGGGAGGGGTCACTTTGTAAATTATATAAATGTCTATAACTATACTGTATACCTGAAATGAATATAAAATAATATTGAATGTCAACTATAATTAAAAAATAAAATTCTAAAAAAAAACACATTAGAAATAAATAATATATTAAAATCTTCAACAATAAGAGAAAAAAAAAAAACCTGCTCTTTGGCACATGTATTCACTTTCCATCTGTAGTAGATGTAAGCTATTTCAATTAGATTTCCTAAACAACTTCTAAAACAGGAATGGAAAAGAAGAACCAGGATGTATTCTCGGTAATCTCTGCAATTTCATTGTCTCTTTATCCCTAAGTGAATAGTGGATTGTGGGAGCGTATGTATGGAAACCAATCAGATGAAGGGGAAAGGAGGGGAAGAGAAAACTGTTTTTACCATCCTCCTAAGAAATACGCTCTGACTAGAGTGCAAATAGGAGATGTGAATTACATCCATTCCAGTTACAGAATTTCCCTTCTCTGACCATGAAGCCATCTAACTTGAGAGGGTTTCTATTTTTAACAAACTTAAAGAAATATGGCACACTTCATGACCATTAAAATAGATGTGTGTGTTTTTAAATTCTGAGAAGCTTCTCTCAACTCTTGCTGCTGGAATTAAAAAAAAACAAATGCCAGAAATAGAACTGAGGTGCAGGATGGATTATTTCTGTTTACACATTTAGAATCATTTCAATTTCCCAAAGTCTGCTTTAGCATTAATCTCCACTGTCTGGATTTAATTTTTATTTAAAGACAAC